TAACAAGATGCAACGAGCTGAAACGAGCCACCTACGATTCCCCACACGGAAGCTTCCTTTTCATTGTAGCTAAGCTATCTGACCTTTCAGAATCATAACGCATGCCTTTTGGACAGGGACGGATGAAGAAATCATAGGCCCACAGCTAGTTATTAAACTAAATGATGCTCTCTAGGTGTATTTTGAACATTGAGAACAGGCTCCCGTGTTATTTTGTGCCTTTCGGGGCCCCCTACAGGCTTGGCCCCTTGTGGGGCCCCCCTACAGGCTTGGCCCCTTGTGGGACCCCCCTACAGGCTTGGCCCCTTGTGGGACCCCCCTACAGGCTTGGCCCCTTGTGGGGCCCCCCTACAGGCTTGGCCCCTTGCGGGGCCCCCCTACAGGCTTGGCCCCTTGCGGGGCCCCCTACAGGCTTGGCCCCTTGTGGGGCCCCCCTACAGGCTTGGCCCCTTGTCGGGCCCCCCTACAGGCTTGGCCCCTTGTGGGGCCCCCCTACAGGCTTGGCCCCTTGTGGGGCCCACCGCATTAATCGGGTACTGCTTCCGGACATATCGATCCTTGAACCAAAATGTTAATGAAGTTTGCGCATCTATGGTATTCGACTGGGCAACTTGCTGTGATTTCGTTACGGTGTATTCTAACGGGGACATTGGCGCTATTTATGATGGGATTCTGAAGGGCGCTGTCAGCTTATCTGAAGGGGGCTTCATGATTGTTCTTGTGGGCGGTTACTGTGTGGGATTCTGTGAACGGCGAACTATGCTTTTTCTATGTAAGGGGTTTAGTCTATGGGATTTCCTGGTAAGGGGCGCTTTAATGGATCTTGTAAACGGCTGTTATCAATCGGGTTTCGTGAAAGGGCGGCTGTATAACAATGTGTACGTGAAAGCGTGCTGTAATCTATCTGTGGTATTCTTGTAAGCGGGGCAACAAATGCGTGTATTTCGTGAAAGGCGGCCTGAACAATGCGTTTTCTCTTAAAGGGAGGTGTACTATGCGTGGTATTTCTGTGAAGGCGGCTGAAGCAGCGTGATTTTTTAAGGGGCGGGGCGTACTAGCGTTATCTAAAGGGGGCTGTTTCAATGACCTGTGGTATCGTTAAAGTAGTGCCTTTATTAATGCTGATTTGTGAGGCGCGTACACTGGTGATTTCGGTAAAGGCCTGGGCGAACAACTGTTATTTGTGAAAGGGGCGGGGCTGTATATCTATGCTGTGGTATTTCTAATGTCGAGGAGGCGGGCTGTAGAAAGCGAGACGGAGGCTGCCTTCCATGGTGCGTGCTGTTATATCAGACTGTAATGATCACCTGGATGAAATGTGCCAGCTGAGCCGCCACTAGGAATCCTCTGCGACCCAGTGCGTGAAGTCGCCGTCTCCGGGGGATGCGGCTGAACCTGATGTCTGTGGTTTCGTGAATGGGTGGCGGGGCTGCTAAAATCTAGCTTCCGTAATTGTGATGTCAGGAAGAGGGGGGAAGGGCCTTAGCGTCATCTAAATCTCCAGTGAAGTAGTCTAGCCACGGCCTCTAGGACTAACAAACACAAACAAACAAATCTGTAGATACTATTTTTTATACTGCAGGTGCTGTGTATCATAACCAGGCGAAGTGCGAATGAAGCTCACATAAATTTGACAAACCCACTGCACCCATCACCTCACCACAGTGGACTACAGTTGGGAAACTTTGAATACCGCGCCCACCCCTGCGTCCACGCGTGACCTCTACCTCACCGCGTACTGAAAGCCCCTGGGACGTCATCCAACTGGCACTACTATGGGAAACTCCTGCGTCATCGCGCTCCCCTCCTCCCAGGACACGCGGTACCATGACCTCACCTCTGTAAGCCTACCCCCTGCTATCATTCGGGCAGTAAATCCCTGTATTTATAACACTACTGTTGGTTTCTTGACCATGATGCTGTTACACATGACACCTGCTGTACTATGTACGGCCTGCTGTATCCATGGTGTATCCCCTGTGTCAAGCAGTGTTACTACGACTTTACAACCTGTAATTACGGCTCGTATGACCCGTTTATACACATGAGCACTACACTCTGTCTCATGAGACCCCCTGCTCACCATGACCCCCTGCGTCACCAGGAACCCCTCTGTCACCATGAACCCACCCCTGCTGTCACCATGACCCCCTGCTGTCACCATGACCCCCTGCTGTCACCATGACCCCCCTGCTGTCACCATGACCCCCTGCTGTCCCCATGACCCCCTGCTGTCACCAGACACCCCTGCTGTCACCATGACCTACCCTGCTGTCCCCATTACCTCCCTGCTGTCACCATGACTACCCCCTGCTGTCACCATGACCCCCTGCTGTCACCATGACCCTCCCCTGCTGTCACCATGACCACCCTACAGACCCCCTGCTGTCACCATGACCACCCCCTGCTGTCACCAATGACCCCCTGCTGTCACCATGACCCCCTGCTGTCACCATACCCCCTGCTGTCACCAGTGACCCCCCCCTGCTGTCACCATGACCCCACTGCTGTCACCATGACCCCCTGCTGTCACCATGACCCCCTGCTGTCACCATGACCCCCGCTGTCACCATGACCTACCCCCTGCTGTCACCAGACCACCCTGCTGTCACCATTGACCCCCCCTGCTGTCACCATGACCCGACCCCTGCTGTCAACCATGACCCTACCCCCGCTGTCGTCACCAATGACCCTACCCCCTGCTGTCACCATGACCCCCTGCTGTCACCATGACCCCCTGCTGTCACCATGACCCCCTGCTGTCACCTGACCCCATGACTCCATGACCCCCATGCTGTCACCATGACCCCCTGCTGTCACCATGACCCTACCCCCTGCTGTCACCATGACCCCCTGCTGTCACCATGACCCCCTCTGTCACCATGACCCCCTGCTGTCACCATGACCCCCCTGCTGTCACCATGACCCCCCTGGCGTCCACCATGACCACCCCCTGCTGTCACCATGACACCCCCTGCTGTCACCATGACACCCCCTGCTGTCACCATGACCCGTACCCCCTGCTGTCACCATGACCCCCTGCTGTCACCATGAACCCACCCCCTGCTGTCACCATGACCCCCTGCTGTCACCATGGACCCCCTGCTGTCACCATGACCCCCTGCTGTCACCATGACCCCTGCTGTCACCATGACCCCCTGCTGTCACCATGACCCCTGCTGTCACCATGACCCCCTGCTGTCACCATGACCCCCTGCTGTCACCATGACCCCCCTGCTGTCACCATGACCCCCCTGCGTCACCATGACCCCTGCTGCACATGACCCCCTGCTGTCACCATGACCCCCTGCTGTCACCATGACTCCCCTGCTGTCACCATGACCCCCTGCTGTCACCATGACCCCCTGCTGTCAACCCTACCCTGCTGTCACCATGACCCCCCTGCTGTCACCATGACCCCCTGTCACCATACCCCCTGCTGTCCCCAGACCCCCTGCTGTCCCCATGACCCCCCTGCTGTCACCATGACCCCCTGCTGTCACATGACCCCCTGCTGTCACCAATGACCCCCTGCTGTCAACCATGACCCCCTGCTGTCACCATGACCCCCCTGCGTCACATGACCCCCTGCTGTCACCATGACCCCCTGCTGTCACCATGACCCCCTGCTGTCACCATGACCCCCTGCTGTCACCATGACCCCCTGCTGTCACCATGACCCCCTGCTGTCACCATGACCCCCTGCTGTCACCATGACCCCCTGCTGTCCACCATGACCCCCTGCTGTCACCATGACCCCCCTGCTGTCACCATGACCCCTGCTGTCACCATGACCACACAACCTGCTGTCCCCATGACCCCCTGCTGTCACCATGACCCCCTGCTGTCACCATGACCCCCTGCTGTCACCATGACCCCCTGCTGTCACCATGACCCTACCCCTGCTTCACCATGACCCCCTGCTGTCACCATGACCCCTGCTGTCACCATGACCCCCTGTGTCACCATGACCCCTGCTGTCACCATGACCCCCTGCCTGCTGACCCTACCCCCTGCTGTCACCATGACCCTACTACCCCCTGCTGTCACCATGACACCCCTGCTGTCACCATGACCCCCCTGCTGTCACCATGACCCCTGCTGTCACCATGACCCCCTGCTGTCCACCATGACCCCCTGCTGTCACCATGACCCCCTGCTGTCACCAGACCACTGACCCCCCTGCTGTCACCATGACCCCCTCCACATGACCCCCCTGCTGTCACCATGACCCCCTGCTGTCACCATGACCCTACCCCCTGCTGTCACCATGACCTACCCCCTGCTGTCACCACCTGACCCCCTGCTGTCACCATGACCCCCTGCTGTCACCATGACCCCCTGCTGTCACCATGACCCCCCTGCTGTCACCATGACCTACCCCTGCTGTCCCCATGACCCCCCTGCTGTCACCATGACCCCCTGCTGTCACCATGACCTACCCCTGCTGTCACCATGACCCCCTGCTGTCACCATGACCCCGCTGTCACCATGACCCCCCTGCTGTCACCATGACCTACCCCTGCTGTCACCATGACCCTACCCCCTGCTGTCACCATGACCCCCTGCTGTCACCATGACCCTCCCCCCTGCTGTCACCATGACCCCCTGCTGTCACCAGACCCCCTGCTGTCACCATGACCCCCTGCTGTCACCATGACCCTACCCCCTGCTGTCACCATGACCCCCTGCTGTCACCATGACCCCCTGCTGTCACCATGACCCCCTGCTGTCACCATGACCTATCCCCTGCTGTCACCATGACCCCCTGCTGTCACCATGCCCTACCCCTGCTGTCACCATGACCCCCTGCTGTCACCATGACCCCCTACCCCCTGCTGTCACCATGGACCCTAACCCCCTGCTGTCACCATGACCCCCTGCTGTCACCCATGACCCCCTGCTGTCACCCATGACCCCCTGCTGATTTCCCATTGAGGTGAGCTGTTGTAACTCTCTATGTACAAGACAAAACTGTGTCTAAAAGACCAATCATTTCACTAGCCTATCAGAGTGCGGGGGTCGGCCAGCCGGCCAATGAGGTGTCCGTGGTAGGTGGGGCTTCTCAGGGTCCGCTGGTCCAGGTCCAGCACAGCCAGGTAGCGTCTGTAACGAGCCAGAGAGTGAAGCATGCTGGGAGCTGTAGGAGACGTCCTGGGAGAGAGAGAGGGGGATTGTGGGGGTAAGACGGTAGTTATTTATTGATTTATATGGTGTTCTAGAACATTGAGACAGATTTTTGGGGCAGGTTCAACATTACAGCAGATTATAAAGTCATGACTGATCATTATAAAATCACTACTCCATATCATCTGTAGCTCAGTCAGTCACATTTTACCCATGATACATCAGGGTTTTAATGTTTTTACCTGTGGATTCCGATGAGTCTCCAGGTGAGCAGGTCTGTCAGCTGAAGAGGCGTGGCCAGGCAGGGCTGCACAGCGTCTCCATAGCGACCAGGTGAGGGCAGGTAGAGGGAGAGGGCAGCGACCGTCCTCCTCACGGAACCCTCCTCTCCACCAATCACCACCAGCGGCCGGCCACTCAGCAGGCAGAACACAGCATTCTGGGAGAAGGAATTCTGTCGCAGGAACCTGAGGGCTCCAAGACCCGCCTTCCTCCTCTGGCTCTGATGTCGTCGCGGGTTACTAGCGCTGCGGTTGCCGTGGAGATGTGTGGGGGGCAGAGAGGGGGGGTCAGAGGAGGATGGAGAGGTGCTGATGTAGCTCACACAGTCTGACGCCTCCGTCTATACTCAGCCTGGTGTCGCCTAGCAACCAGCGCCCCGCTGAACCCTGACCTCTGACCCTCTAAGCTCAGGGGGGTGGAAAAGTTTCACCTGGAGGTCAGGCACCACCACCCGCCCTGCTGCCACGCCCAGCCTGACCTCCGACCTCTCCATTGGCGAGGTGACCCTCGTACTGCTGGGAGGAGCCCTCTACTGACACCTGCTGGACTGGAGACAAAGAAACAGATAACACACTACTTTGGATAAAAGCATCAGGGACATATTATTATTATTATTATTATTATTATTATTATTATAATAGAACACAGTAAGAGAGGAAACAGACAGTATTACCCAGAGATCCCTGGGGCTCAGACGTGGGGGGCCGGAGTGTCCCATCTTCCCTGGCTTCTCCCCCCCATTCCTGGACTTCAATACCCAGGGTGCTGTTGCGGCCGAGTGGGCGTGTCCTCTAGCTCCTCCTCTCCTCCGCCTGGACTATATTACCCATGATTCTCTGGTGCCGAGTGTGCTCCTTCTTCCTCCACGAACTACAATACCCAGGGTTGCTGTGCTGCTGACCTGCTGCCCGCCGCCTCCTTCTCTTCCTGGATCACACTACCCATGATTCCATGCTCCCTCAGGCTCCTCCTCTGTGATGGCGGTGAAAATGTGATCTTCGGGGAAGACTGAGTCTGAGGTGCTGATGACCTCAATACTGTCCTCGCTGTTCGCCCTCCGCCGCCAGGGACCGCATGCCACGCCTCATCCCCACATCCGCGGGGGGCACGACAGCCTTCACCCCCACCCAAACCCCCCCCAGGGCAATCTATAGGAGGAGAGGAGAGAGTTAAAACCCCCCCCCTTTACCCCGGAAACCCCCCCCACCAGAAAAACTCTAAGGAGGAGAGGAGAGGGTCTTAAAACCCCGCCTTTACCCTGACCCAACCCCCCCCAGGGCAACCCCTTTTAGGAGGAGGGAGAGAGCAAAACCCCGCCTTTCCCCCCCCCCAACCCCCCCAGAAAAACCTAAGGAGGAAAAGGAGAGAGTCTAAACCCCGCCTTTACCCCCCCCCCCGACCCAACCCACCAGACAACTCTATAGGAGGAGGGAGGAGTCAACCCAAACCTTCCACCCTGACCCACCAGACAACTCTATAGGAGGGGGGAAACGGGTTTAACCCCGCCTTCACCCTTACCCAACCCCCCCAGACCAAAATCTTAGGAGGAGGGGAGAGAGGGCAACCCAGCCTTTCCCCCGACCCAACCCGGGCAAATCTTAGGGGAGAGGAGAGAGTTAACCCCCGGGCCCTTTACCCTGACCCAACCCCCCAGACAACTTTTATAGGGGAGAGGGGGAGTCCAAACCCCCCCTTTTACCCTGACCCCCCCCACCCGAAAAACTCTATAGGAGGAGGGGGAGAGAGTCTTTAACCCCGCCTTACCCTGACCCAACCCACCAGACAACCTTTTATAGGGGGAGAGGAGAGGTCTAACCCAGGGCCCTTTACCCGGGCCCCCAAACCCCCCCCGCCCAAAAATTTAGGGGGGGAGAGGTTTTTAACCCCGCCTTCCCCCTGACCCAAACCCCCCAGACAAACTCTATAGGAGGAGAGGAAGAGGTCTTTAACCCCGGGCCCTTTACCCGCCCAACCCCCCAAGGGCAACTCTATAGGGGAGGGAGGAGTTAACCCCGCCTTCAAACCCCGACCCAACCCCCCCAGACAACTCTATAGGAGGGAGGGGGGAGAGGGCTAAAACCAAACCTTTACCCCAAAACCCCCCAGGGCAACTCTTTTGGAGGAGAGGAGAGGGTCTAACCCAGCCTTCACCCTGACCCCCCAACCCGGGCAACTTAGGGGGGAGAGGGAGGGGAGGTCTAAACCCCGCCTTTTAACCCCGACCCAAACCCCCCAGGGCAAATCCTTTGGAGGAGAGGAGAGGTCTAACCCAGCCTTCACCCGGGCCCAAAAACCAAACCGACCCAAATCCTTGGGGGGAGAGGGAAAAGTCTAAACCCCGCCTTCCCCCCGGGCCCCCAAACCCCCCAGACAAAACCCATAGGAGGGGAGGAGGGGGAGGTTTTTTAAAACCCCGCCTTTTACCCGACCCCCCAGACAACTAAGGAGGAGAGGAGGAGTCTAAACCCCGCCTTCACCCCGACCCACCAGGGAAAAATCATGGGGAGAGGAGGGGGGTCAAACCCCCCCTTTACCCTGAAACCCCCCCCCACCAGAAACCATAGGAGGAGAGGAGGAGTCTAAACCCCGCCCTTTACCCAAACCCCCCCAAAACAAAATCTTTTAGGAGGGAGGGGGAGGTCAAAACCCCGCTTCCCCCCCTGACCCAACCACCCGACAAAATCATGGAGGAGAGGAGAGGGTTTTAACCCAGCCTTCACCCTGACCCAAACCCACCAGCCCCCCCCTATAGGAGGAGAGGAGAGGTCTAACCCAGCCTTTACCCTGACCCACCAGACAAAATCTTTTAGGAGGAAAAGGGAGAGTCTAAACCCCGCCTTACCCTTACCCAAAAAACCCCCAAAAACCAAAATTTAGGAGGAGAGGGCGAGTCAACCCCGCCTTCACCCTGGGCCCAACCCACCAGAAAAAACCCCTTTTAGGAGGAGAGGAGAGGTTAACCCGCCTTCACCCTGGGCCCACCAGACAACTCTTAGGGAGAGGGAGAGAGTCAACCCAGCCTTCACCCTGACCCAAAAACCCCCCAGAACCCAAATCTATAGGGGGAGAGGAGAGGTTTTAACCCAGCCCTTTACCCTGACCCAAACCCCCCAGGGCAATCTAAGGAGGGAGGAGAGAGTCAACCCCGCCTTCACCCTGCCCCCAAACCCCCCAGACAACTCTATAGGGGGGGAGAGGAGAGAGTTTTAACCCCGCCTTCACCCTGACCCCAAACCCCCAGGGCAACTCTATAGGGGAGAGGAGAGAGTCAACCCAGCCTTTTACCCGACCCAACCCCCCAGACAACTTTTATAGGAGGAGAGGAGAGAGTCTAAACCCCGCCAACCCCGACCCCCCCAAAAAAACTTTTATAGGAGGAGAGGGGGAGGGTTAAAACCCCGCCTTCACCCTGACCCCCCCACCAGACAAAATCTATAAAGGGGAGAGGAGAGAGTTAACCCAGGCCCTTTACCCTGACCCAACCCACCCGACAACTTATAGGAGGAGAGGGAGAGTCTAAACCCCGCCTTCACCCCGACCCCCAAACCCCCCAGAAAATCATAGGAGGGGAGGAGAGGGGGGTTAAAACCCCGCCTTTACCCGACCCAAACCCCCCAGGGCAACCCTATAGGAGGAGAGGAGAGGTCAACCCCCCTTCACCCCCGGCCCCAAACCCCCCCCGGGCAAATCTAAGGAGGAGAGGAGAGAGTCTAAAAAGGGCCCTTTAAACCCCGACCCCAAACCCCCCCAAAATCTATAGGAGGAGAGGAGAGAGTCTAACCCAGCCTTTACCCGACCCCAAAACCCCCCAGACAACTCTATAGGAGGAGGGGGAAAAGAGTCAACCCAGCCTTTTACCCCCGAAACCCCCAGGGCAACTTATAGGAGGAGAGGGAGAGAGTTAACCCCGCCTTCACCCTGACCCCCCCCCCAGGGGCAACTTATAGGGGAGAGGAGGGGAGTCTAACCCCCGCCCCTTCCCCCCACCCCCCCCACCAGACAATCTATGGAGGAGAGGGGAAAAGTTAACCCAAACCTTCCCCCTGACCCAACCCCCCAGACAACTCTTTTAGGAGGAGAGGAGAGAGTCTAAACCCCGCTTCCCCTGACCCCCAAACCCCCCAGAAAAATCTATAGGAGGAGAGGGAGAGCCCCTAACCCCCGCCTTACCCTGAACCCCCCGACAAAATTATAGGAGGGGAGGAGAGGTCTAAAACCCCGCCTTTACCCTGACCAAAAAGACAAAACCCAAGGAGGGGGGAGAGGGCCCAAAACCCGCCTTCACCCTGCCCCCCAACCCCCCAGACAAAATCTATAGGAGGAGAGGAGGGGCCCAACCCACCTTTACCCCGCCCCAAACCCCCCAGACAATCTTAAGGGGGGAGGAGAGATTTTAACCCAAACCTTTTACCCTGACCCAACCCCCCAGCACTCTATAGGAGGGGGAAAAGGGTCTAACCCAGGGCCTTTACCCCGACCCCCCAGACAAACTCTATAGGAGGAGAAAGGGGAAAAGTTAAAACCCGCCTTCACCCTGACCCCCCAAAACCAAAATCTATAGGAGGAAAAAGGAGAGAAATCTAACCAAACTTCACCCTGACCCAAAAACCCCCCAGGGCAAAATCTATGGGGGAGGGGGAGAAAAGTCTAACCCCGCCCTTCCCCCTGACCCCCAACCCACCCGACAAAATCCTTTGGAGGAGGGAGGGAGTCTAAACCCCCCCTTCACCCGAAACCCCAAACCCCCCAGAAACTCTATGGAAGGGGAGGAGGAGCTTAAAACCCCCCCTTTTACCCCCGACCAAAACCCCCCAGACAACTCTATTGGGGGGAGAGGAAAAGAGTCTAACCCAGCCTTCCCCGACCCACCCCCCCCAGGGGGCCAAATCTATGGAGGAGGGAGAGAGTTTTAACCCCCCCCTTTACCCTGACCCCAAACCCCCCGGCCCCAACTTATAGGAGGAGAGGGGGAGAGTCTAACCCAGCCTTTACCCGACCCAACCCACCAGACAAAATTATTGGAGGGGGAGGAGAGAGTCAAAACCCCCCCCTTTACCCTGACCCAAACCCCCCAGAACAACTCTATAGGAGGGGGGGGAGGGGTTAACCCCGCCTTTACCCCGACCCAACCCCAGGGCACCTCTATAGGAGGGAGGAGAGGGGTTAACCCAGCCCTTTACCCTGACCCCAAACCCCCCAGCCAAAACCATAGGAGGAGAGGAGAGAGTCTAACCCAGCCTCACCCTGACCCAACCCACCCAGACAAACTCTATAGGAGGAGAGGAGAGAGTCTAACCCAGCCTTCACCCTGGACCCCAACCCACCAGACAACCTCTAAGGAGGAGAGGAGAGAGTCTAACCCAGCCTTCACCCTGACCCACCCCACCAGACAACTCTCATAGGAGGAGAGGAGAGAGTCTAACCCAGCCTTCACCCTGACCCAACCCACCAGCAACTCTATAGGAGGAGAGGAGAGAGTCTAACCCAGCCTTCACCCTGACCCAACCCACCAGGACAACTCTATAGGAGGAGAGGAGGGTTTTAACCCAGGCCCTTTACCCTGACCCAAACCCCCCAGGGCAAAATTTAGGAGGAGAGGAGAGAGCTAACCCAGCCTTCACCCTGACCCACCCAAAAGAAAATCTATAGGAGGGGGAGGAGAGAGTCTAACCCCCCTTCACCCCCGACCCCAAAACCCCCCAGACCCCTCATAGGAGGGAGGAGGGGGGGAGTCTAACCCCGCCTTTACCCCGACCCCCCAGCAACTCTTAGGAGGGGAGGGGAGAGGGTTTAACCCAAACCTCACCCTGACCCCAAACCCCCCAGAAAAAATCTTTTAGGAGGAGAGGGGGAGAGCCCAACCCAGCCTCACCCGGGCCCAAACCCCCCCCGACCAACTCTATGGGGGAGGGAGGGGGTTCTAACCAGCCCTTAAACCCGACCCAACCCCAAAGACAACTCTATAGGCGGAGGGAGAGGGGGTTTTAAACCCCGCCTTCACCCTGGGCCCCCCCCACCAGACAAAAACATAGGAGGAGGAAAGGGGAGAGTCTAAAACCCCGGGCCCTTACCCCGACCCCAAACCCCAGACAACCTATGGAGGGAGGGGGAAAAGAGGGCTAAACCCCGCCTTCACCCTGAACCCCACCCCCCAAAAACTTTTATAGGAGGAGAGGAGGAGCTAAACCCCCCTTCACCCCGACCCCCAGACAACTTTTCGGGGGAGAGGGGAGAGTCTAACCCAGCCCTTTACCCCCGACCCCCCCCCCAAACCCGACAAATTTTAAGGAGGGGAGGAGAGAGTCTAACCCGCCTTCACCCTGACCCAACCCCCCAGGGAAAACCCTTTGGAGGGGAGGGAGGGTCTAACCCCGCCTTCCCCCCCCCCTGAACCCCCCCACCAGGGCAAAATCTATAGGAGGGGGAGGAGAGAGTCAAAACCCCCGGGCCCTTTACCCTGACCCCAAACCCCCCCGACCAAAAAATATAGGGGGGAGGGAGAGAGTTAACCCAGCCTTCACCCCGACCCCAAACCCCCCCGGGAAACCCCAAGGAGGAGAGGAGAGAGTCAACCCAGCCCTTTAACCCCGGGCCCCCCCAGACAACTCTATAGGAGGAGGGGGAGTCAAACCCCCCCCACCCCGACCCAACCCCCCCCGCAACCCCTATAGGAGGAAAAGGAGGAGTCTAACCCAACCTTTTACCTGACCCAAACCCCCCCAGAAAATTATAGGGGGAGAGGAGGAGGTTAAACCCCCCCTTCACCCGGAAAAAAAAACCCCCCCCGGGCAAAACCCATAGGGGGGAGGAGAGGTTAACCCAGCCTTCACCCTGACCCAACCCACCCGACCACTCTTTTAGGGGAGAGGAGAGAGTTAACCCAAACCCCTTTACCCTTTACCCCCAAAGGGCAAAAAATTATAGGGGAGGGAGAGGTTTTAACCCAGTTCCCCCTGGGCCCACCAGGGCAAAATCTATGGAGGAGAGGAAGAGTCAACCCCGCCCTTTACCCTGGGCCCCCCAACCCCCCCGACAACTCTATAGGAGGAGAGGAGAGAGTCTAACCCCAGCCTTCACCCTGACCCAACCCACCAAGACAACTCTATAGGAGGAGAGGAGAGAGTCAACCCAGGCCTTCACCCTGACCCCCAACACACCAGACAACTCTATAGGAGGAGAGGAGAGAGTCTAACCCAGCCTTCACCCTGACCCAACCCACCAGACACCCCTATAGTTTAATAACAATAGATTATATACAGAGGATTCAGATCCCTTGACTTTTTCCACATTTTGTTACGTTACAGCCTTATTCTAAAATGCATTACATTGTTTTTTCCCCCTCATCAATCTACACACAATACCCCATAATGACAAAGAAAAAACTGTTTTTTAGAAATGTTTGCAAATGTATTAAAATTAAAAAACAGAAATACCTTATTTACATAAGTGTTCAGACCCTTTGCTATGAGACTCGAAATTGAGCTCAGGTGCATCCTGTTTCCATTGATCATCCTTGAGATGTTTCTACAACTTAATTGGAGTCCACTTGTTGTAAATTCAATTGATTGGACATGATTTGGAAAGGCACACACCTGTCTATATAAAGGTCCCACAGTTGACAGTGAATGTCAGAGCAAAAATCAAGCCATGAGATCGAAGGAATTGTCCATAGAGCTCCGAGACAGGATTGTGTCGAGGCACAGATCTGGGGAAGGGTCCCAAAAAATGTCTGCAGCATTTAAGGTCCCCAAGAACACAGTGGCCTCCATCATTCTTAAATGGAAGAAGTTTGGAACCACCAAGACTCTTCCTAGAGCTGGCCGCCCGGCCAAACTGAACAATCGGGGGAGAAGGGCCTTGGTCAGGGAGGTGACCAAGAACCCGATGGTCACTCTGACGGAGCTCCAGAGTTCCTCTGTGGAGATGGGAGAACCTTCCAGAAGGACAACCACCTCTGCAGCTCTCCACCAATCAGGCGCTCAGGACCTCAGACTGCAGTGAAGGTTCACTTTCCACCAGGACAATGCAGGAGTGGCTTCGGGACAAGTCTCTGAATGTCCTTGAGTGGCCCAACCAGAGCCCGGACTTGAACCCGATCGAACATCTCTGGAGAGAGACCTGAAAATAGCTGTGCAGCGACGATCCCCATCCAACCTGACAGAGCTTGAAAGTATCTACAGAGAAGAATGGGAGAAACTCCCCAAATACAGGTGTGCCAAGCTTGTAGCGTCATACCCAAGAAGAATCAAGGCTGTAATCGCTGACAAAGGTGCTTCAACAAAGTACTGAGTAAAGGGTCTGAATACTTATGTAAATGTGATATTTCAGTTTATTTTTAATAAATTAGCAAACATTTCTAAAAACCTGTTTTTGTTATGTCATTATGGGTTATTGTGTGTAGATTGATGAGGGGGGAAAAACAATGTAATCAATTTTAGAATAAGGCTGTAACGTAACAAAATGTGGAAAAAGTCAAGGGGTCTGAATCCTTTCTGAATGCGCTGTACCTACCACTGTGTTCCATGTGGGTTAGACCCTGTGTTCTATAGGAGCGTTCCGTCCCCAGAACCTCAATGCTCTCTCCGCTGCTCACGCTGTCCGGTCTCGTCTCCATGGTTACCTCTTCTCCCTCAGGACCACGCGTCGGCCCCGCCCCTCCACTTCCCGTCTCCAGTTTGATTGACACCTCCTCCACGCAGGAGAAGAACGACTCCAGGCACGGCGGTCCCGCCCCAGCCCACTCCACGGGATGTGACATCACGCCACTTCCTCCCTCTAGCCCCACCCCCTCCTCCTCCAGCTCCTCCTCCTCCTCCTCCTGGTCCCAGAGCTGGAACAGGAAGTGTGTGTGTGAAAGCGTCCTGGAGAGCGTGTTTGTGACGCGGCGGTTGTGTAGAACGCTCTGGTCTCCACGGAGACGGCGTTCTGTGCTGCCCAACTGTTCCAGCGTCAGAGACAGGAAGTAGCAGTCACTCAGCTCCTCCAATGGCTTCAGACGGCGGTCGAACCGCCTCGCCGACCAGCCCCCACCCCCTAGCGACGCCCCGGAGACCAGCTGGGGGGTGTATGAGGGGGAAGGGGGATCAGGGGTAAGGGGGATGGGCTCGGGGATCAGGGAGGGGTCGTAGGGCAGAAAGCCAGGGTCTTTTAACTTCCTGTTGGGGTAGGACGTGACCTGGTGGAGGAGGGACCTGTGGTCCAGGATGGAACGATCCACGCTCGCAAGTTCATTGGTTGTGTTCTGCAGCTCCGTCTCCTCGCTGATCTCTGCACTCTCATTGGATGTCCTTTGTAGCGCTGCCTGAAGGATGGATCGTGTGTACCTGTCACAGAGAGAAGGATTTAAAAATGCTCACACAACCAAACTGTGTGTCAGTGCGTGTGTCGGTGCGTGTGTCGGTGCGTGTGTCAGTGCGTGAACGTGTGTTGGTGTCTGTCCTCTTACTCCAGGTCTCGTAGCTTCCTCTGCAGCTCGCGGGCGAAGGCCCGGCGGTTTCCCGTCTTCAGGCTCTCGGAGGCGCGGGAGAAGCGGAGCGACATCTCCTGGAACTGCAGCATGATCTTCCTCTCGTCGGCAGAGACGTAGGCCATGCAGAACGGGCGGACGAAGCCGCGAGCCTCCAGGTCGTACAGCGTCAGGTGGTGGACGTAGGCGAACGCCCCCTCCTTAGAGTCACCCAGCACCACACGAGAGTCCTGGAGGAAGGAGAACAACCACATCCTCAGAGTCACCCAGCGCCACCCTGGAGGAAGGAGACCAACCACCTCCTCCTCCTCAGTCACCCAGCGCCATCCTGGAGGAAGGACAACAACCTCCTCCTCCTCCTCAGAGTCACCCAGCACCACCCTGGAGGAAGGAGACCAACCACCTCCTCCTCCTCAGTCACCCAGCGCCATCCTGGAGGAAGGAGAACAACCTCCTCCTCCTCAGAGTCACCCAGCACCACCCTGGAGGAAGGAGAACCACCTCCTCCTCCTCAGTCACCCAGCGCCATCCTGGAGGAAGGACAACAACCTCCTCCTCCTCAGAGTCACCCAGCACCACCCTGGAGGAAGGAGACCAACCACCTCCTCCTCCTCAGTCACCCAGCGCCATCCTGGAGGAAGGAGAACAACCTCCTCCTCCTCAGAGTCACCCAGCACCACCCTGGAGGAAGGAGAACCACCTCCTCCTCCTCAGTCACCCAGCGCCATCCTGGAGGAAGGAGAACAACCTCCTCCTCCTCAAAGTCACCCAGCACCACCCTGGAGGAAGGAGACCAACCACCTCCTCCTCCTCAGTCACCCAGCACCACCCTGGAGGAAGGAGAACAACCTCCTCCTCCTCCTCAGAGTCACCCAGCGCCACCCTGGAGGAAGGACAACAACCTCCTCCTCCTCAGAGTCACCCAGCGCCACCCTGGAGGAAGGAGAACAACCTCCTCCTCCTCCTCAGAGTCACCCAGCGCCACCCTGGAGGAAGGACAACAACCTCCTCCTCCTCAGAGTCACCCAGCGCCACCCTGGAGGAAGGAGAACAACCTCCTCCTCCTCAGAGTCACCCAGCACCACCCTGGAGGAAGGAGAACAACCTCCTCCTCCTCCTCAGTCACCCAGCGCCACCCTGGAGGAAGGACAACAACCTCCTCCTCCTCAGAGTCACCCAGCGCCACCCTGGAGGAAGGACAACAACCACCTCCTCAGTCACCCAGCACCACCCTGGAGGAAGGACAACAACCTCCTCCTCCTCAGAGTCACCCAGCGCCACCCTGGAGGAAGGAGAACCACCTCCTCCTCCTCCTCAGTCACCCAGCCCCACCCTGGAGGAAGGAGAACCTCCTCCTCCTCCTCAGTCACCCAGCCCCACCCTGGAGGAAGGAGAACAACCTCCTCCTCCTCCTCAGTCACCCAGCCCCACCCTGGAGGAAGGAAAACAACCTCCTCCTCCTCAGAGTCACCCAGCACCACCCTGGAGGAAGGAGAACAACCACCTCCTCAGAGTCACCCAGCGCCACCCTGGAGGAAGGACAACAACCTCCTCCTCCTCCTCAGTCACCCAGCGCCACCCTGGAGGAAGGACAACAACCTCCTCCTCCTCCTCAGTCACCCAGCACCACCCTGGAGGAAGGAGAACAACCACCTCCTCCGAGTCACCCAGCACCACCCTGGAGGAAGGAGAACAACCTCCTCCTCCTCCTCAGTCACCCAGCACCACCCTGGAGGAAGGAGAACAACCTCCTCTTCCTCCTCAGTCACCCAGCGCCACCCTGGAGGAAGGAGAACAACCACCTCCTCCTCAGAGTCACCCAGCCCCACCCTGGAGGAAGGAGAACAACCACCTCCTCAGAGTCACCCAGCACCACCCTGGAGGAAGGAGAACAACCTCCTCCTCAGTCACCCAGCGCCACCCTGGAGGAAGGACAACAACCTCCTCCTCCTCCTCAGTCACCCAGCGCCACCCTGGAGGAAGGACAACAACCTCCTCCTCCTCCTCAGTCACCCAGCACCACCCTGGAGGAAGGAGAACAACCACCTCCTCCGAGTCACCCAGCACCACCCTGGAGGAAGGAGAACAACCTCCTCCTCCTCCTCAGTCACCCAGCACCACCCTGGAGGAAGGAGAACAACCTCCTCTTCCTCCTCAGTCACCCAGCGCCACCCTGGAGGAAGGAGAACAACCACCTCCTCCTCAGAGTCACCCAGCCCCACCCTGGAGGAAGGAGAACAACCACCTCCTCAGAGTCACCCAGCACCACCCTGGAGGAAGGAGAACAACCTCCTCCTCAGTCACCCAGCGCCACCCTGGAGGAAGGAGAACCACCTCCTCCTCCTGTCACCCAGCACCACCCTGGAGGAAGGAGAACAACCTCCTCCTCCTCCTCCTCCTCAGAGTCACCCAGCACCACCCTGGAGGAAGGAGAACAACCTCCTCCTCCTCAGAGTCACCCAGCACCACCCTGGAGGAAGGAGAACAATCTCCTCCTCCTCAGAGTCACCCAGCACCACCCTGGAGGAAGGAGAACAACCTCCTCCTCAGAGTCACCCAGCGCCACCCTGGAGGAAGGACAACAACCTCCTCCTCCTCCTCAGTCACCCAGCGCCACCCTGGAGGAAGGACAACAACCTCCTCCTCCTCCTCAGTCACCCAGCACCCCCCTGGAGGAAGGATAACCACCTCCTCAGTCACCCAGCGCCACCCTGGAGGAAGGAGAACCACCTCCTCCTCAGTCACCCAGCACCACCCTGGAGGAAGGAGAACCACCTCCTCCTCCTCCTCAGTCACCCAGCGCCCCCCTGGAGGAAGGAGAACCACCTCCTCCTCCTCCTCAGTCACCCAGCGCCCCCCTGGAGGAAGGAGAACCACCTCCTCCTCCTCCTCCTCCTCAGTCACCCAGCACCACCCTGGAGGAAGGAGAACCACCTCCTCCTCCTCCTCAGTCACCCAGCGCCCCCCTGGAGGAAGGAGAACCACCTCCTCCTCCTCCGTCACCCAGCACCACCCTGGAGGAAGGAGAACCACCTCATTCTCCTCCTCAGTCACCCAGCACCCCCCTGGAGGAAGGAGAACCACCTCCTCCTCAGTCACCCAGCACCCCCCTGGAGGAAGGAGAACCACCTCCTCCTCCTCCTCAGTCACCCAGCACCCCCCTGGAGGAAGGAGAACCACCTCCTCCTCCGTCACCCAGCGCCACCTGGAGGAAGGAGAACCACCTCCTCCTCCTCCTCAGTCACCCAGCGCCACCCTGGAGGAAGGAGAACAACCTCCTCCTCCTCCTCCTCAGTCACCCAGCGCCCCCCTGGAGGAAGGAGAACCACCTCCTCCTCCTCAGTCACCCAGCGCCCCCCTGGAGGAAGGAGAACCACCTCCTCCTCCTCCTCCTCAGTCACCCAGCGCCCCCCTGGAGGAAGGAGAACCACCTCCTCCTCCTCCTCCGTCACCTAGCACCCCCCTGGAGGAAGGAGAACCACCTCCTCCTCCGTCACCCAGCGCCACCCTGGAGGAAGGAGAACCACCTCCTCCTCAGTCACCCAGCGCCACCCTGGAGGAAGGAGAAACACCTCCTCCTCCTCCGTCACCCAGCACCACCCTGGAGGAAGGAGAACCACCTCCTCCTCCTCAGTCACCCAGCGCCCCCCTGGAGGAAGGAGAAACACCTCCTCCTCCTCCTCAGTCACCCAGCACCCCCTGGAGGAAGGAGAACCACCTCCTCCTCCTCAGTCACCCAGCGCCCCCCTGGAGGAAGGAGAACCACCTCCTCCTCCTCCTCAGTCACCCAGCACCCCCCTGGAGGAAGGAGAACCACCTCCTCCTCCTCCTCCGTCACCCAGCACCCCCCTGGAGGAAGGAGAACCACCTCCTCCTCAGTCACCCAGCGCCACCCTGGAGGAAGGAGAACCACCTCCTCCTCCTCCTCAGTCACCCAGCGCCCCCCTGGAGGAAGGAGAACCACCTCCTCCTCCGTCACCCAGCACCCCCCTGGAGGAAGGAGAACCACCTCCTCCTCAGTCACCCAGCACCCCCCTGGAGGAAGGAGAACCACCTCCTCCTCCTCCTCAGTCACCCAGCACCCCCCTGGAGACCTAGAGGAGGAAGGAGACTTTATAGGATGTGAAAGTGATGATCCGCTCCGCTTTACTGCCTGATCCAGTCCCTGTTTTCAATGGGCTTCAATATTATATACACCCATTCATGGAAACTCAGTCATTTAAGATACAGTGCATTCACAAAGTATTCAGACCCCTTGACTTTTTCCACATTGTTACGTTACAGCCTTATTCTAAAATTGATTAAATTGTTGGGGGTTTTTTGCGCCCCATAATGACAAAGCAAAAACTGGTTTTTAGTCATTTTAGCACATTTATTAAAAATAAAACGGAAATTTGACATTTACATAAGTATTCAGACACTTTACACAGTACTTTGTTGAAGCACCTTTCCAGCGATTACAGCCTTGAGTCTTCTTGGGTATGACGCGACAAGCTTGGCACACCTGTATTTGGGGAGTTTCTCCCATTCTTCTCTGCAGAGCCTCTCAAGCTCGGTCAGATCGGATGGGGAGCGTCGATGCACAGCTATTTTCAGGTCTCTCCAGAGATGTTCGATCGGGTTCAAGTCCGGGCTCTGGCTGGGCCACTCAAGGACATTCAGGGACTTGTCCCGAAGCCACTCCTGCCTTGTCTTGGCTGTGTGCTTAGGGTCATTGTCCTGTTGGAAGGTGAACCTTTGCCTCAGTCTGAGGTCCTGAGCGCTCTGGAGCAGGTTTTCATCAAGGATCTCTCTGTACTTTGCTCCATTCATCTTTCCCTCGATCCTGACTAGTCTCCCAGTCCCTGCCACTGAAAAACATCCCCACAGCATGATGCTGCCACCACCATGCTTCACCATAGGGATGATGCCAGGTTTCCTCCAGACGTGACGCTTGGCATTCAGGCCAAAGAGTTCAATCTTGGTTTCATCAGACCAGAGAATCTTGTTTCTCATGGTCTGAGAGTCCTTTAGGTGCCTTTTGGCAAACTCCAAGCGGGCGGTCATGTGCCTTTTACTGAGGAGTGGCTTCCGTCTGGCCACTCTACCATAAAGGCCTGATTGGTGGAGTGCTGCAGAGATGGTTGTCCTTCTGGAAGGTTCTCCTATCTCCACAGAGGAACTCTGGAGCTCTGTCAGAGTGACCATCGGGTTCTTGGTCACCTCCCTGACCAAGGCCCTTCTCCCCCGATTGCTCAGTTTGGCCGGACAGCCAGCTCTAGGAAGAGTCTTGGTGGTTCCAAACTTCTTCCATTTAAGAATGATGGAGGCCACTGTGTTCTTGGGGACCTTCAATTGTGCCTCGACACAATCCTATCTCGGAGCTCTACGGACAATTCCTTCGACCTCATGGCTTGGTTTTTGCTCTGACATGGACTGTAAACTGTGGGACCTTATATAGACAGGTGTGTGCCTTTCCAAACCATGTCCAATCAATGGAATTTACCACAGGTGTACTCCAATCAAGTTGTAGAAACATCTCAAGGATGATCAATGGAAACAGGATGCACCTGAGCTCAATTTCGAGTCTCATATCAAAGGGTCTGAATACTTATGTAAATAAGGTATTTCTGTTTTTTATTTGTAATACATCTGCTCTACTGTTCAGCTGATCAGAGAACAGGCTACTCTGGTGAACGGTGCTGGTTTAATAAGGTCAGATCAGTCTCTGCTCTACTGTTCGGCTGATCAGAGAACAGGCTACTCTGGTGAACGGTGCTGGTTTAATAAGGTCAGATCAGTCTCTGCTCTACTGTTCAGCTGATCAGAGAACAGGCTCCTCTGGTGAACGGTGCTGGTTTAATAAGGTTAGATCAGTCTCTGCTCTACTGTTCAGCTGATCAGAGAACAGGCTCCTCTGGTGAACGGTGCTGGTTTAATAAGGTCAGATCAGTCTCTGCTCTACTGTTCGGCTGATCAGAGAACAGGCTCCTCTGGTTTAATAAGGTCAGATCAGTCTCTGCTCTACTGTTCGGCTGATCAGAGAACAGGCTCCTCTGGTGAACGGTGCTGGTTTAATAAGGTCAGATCAGTCTCTGCTCTACTGTTCAGCTGATCAGAGAACAGGCTCCTCTGGTGAACGGTGCTGGTTTAATAAGGTCAGATCAGTCTCTGCTCTACTGTTCGGCTGATCAGAGAACAGGCTACTCTGGTGAACGGTGCTGGTTTAATAAGGTCAGATCAGTCTCTGCTCTACTGTTCAGCTGATCAGAGAACAGGCTACTCTGGAGAACGGTGCTGGTTTAATAAGGTCAGATCAGTCTCTGCTCTACTGTTCAGCTGATCAGAGAACAGGCTACTCTGGTGAACGGTGCTGGTTTAATAAGGTCAGATCAGTCTCTGCTCTACTGTTCGGCTGATCAGAGAACAGGCTCCTCTGGTGAACGGTGCTGGTTTAATAAGGTCAGATCAGTCTCTGCTCTACTGTTCGGCTGATCAGAGAACAGGCTCCTCTGGTGAACGGTGCTGGTTTAATAAGGTCAGATCAGTCTCTGCTCTACTGTTCGGCTGATCAGAGAACAGGCTCCTCTGGTGAACGGTGCTGGTTTAATAAGGTCAGATCAGTCTCTGCTCTACTGTTCGGCTGATCAGAGAACAGGCTCCTCTGGTGAACGGTGCTGGTTTAATAAGGTCAGATCAGTCTCTGCTCTACTGTTCGGCTGATCAGAGAACAGGCTCCTCTGGTGAACGGTGCTGGTTTAATAAGGTCAGATCAGTCTCTGCTCTACTGTTCAGCTGATCAGAGAACAGGCTCCTCTGGTGAACGGTGCTGGTTTAATAAGGTCCGATCAGTCTCTGCTCTACTGTTCAGCTGATCAGAGAACAGGCTCCTCTGGTGAACGGTGCTGGTTTAATAAGGTCAGATCAGTCTCTGCTCTACTGTTCAGCTGATCAGAGAACAGGCTACTCTGGTTTAATAAGGTCAGATCAGTCTCTGCTCTACTGTTCAGCTGATCAGAGAACAGGCTACTCTGGTTTAATAAGGTCAGATCAGTCTCTGCTCTACTGTTCGGCTGATCAGAGAACAGGCTCCTCTGGTTTAATAAGGTCAGATCAGTCTCTGCTCTACTGTTCGGCTGATCAGAGAACAGGCTACTCTGGTGAACGGCGCTGGTTTAATAAGGTCAGATCAGTCTCTGCTCTACTGTTCGGCTGATCAGAGAACAGGCTACTCTGGTGAACGGCGCTGGTTTAATAAGGTCAGATCAGTCTCTGCTCTACTGTTCAGCTGATCAGAGAACAGGCTCCTCTGGTGAACGGTGCTGGTTTAATAAGGTCAGATCAGTCTCTGCTCTACTGTTCGGCTGATCAGAGAACAGGCTACTCTGGTGAACGGTGCTGGTTTAATAAGGTCAGATCAGTCTCTGCTCTACTGTTCAGCTGATCAGAGAACAGGCTCCTCTGGTTTAATAAGGTCAGATCAGTCTCTGCTCTACTGTTCGGCTGATCAGAGAACAGGCTACTCTGGTTTAATAAGGTCAGATCAGTCTCTGCTCTACTGTTCGGCTGATCAGAGAACAGGCTCCTCTGGTGAACAGTGCTGGTTTAATAAGGTCAGATCAGTCTCTGCTCTACTGTTCAGCTGATCAGAGAACAGGCTACTCTGGTTTAATAAGGTCAGATCAGTCTCTGCTCTACTGTTCAGCTGATCAGAGAACAGGCTACTCTGGTTTAATAAGGTCAGATCAGTCTCTGCTCTACTGTTCAGCTGATCAGAGAACAGGCTACTCTGGTGAACGGTGCTGGTTTAATAAGGTCAGATCAGTCTCTGCTCTACTGTTCGGCTGATCAGAGAACAGGCTACTCTGGTTTAATAAGGTCAGATCAGTCTCTGCTCTACTGTTCAGCTGATCAGAGAACAGGCTACTCTGGTTTAATAAGGTCAGATCAGTCTCTGCTCTACTGTTCAGCTGATCAGAGAACAGGCTACTCTGGTGAACGGTGCTGGTTTAATAAGGTCAGATCAGTCTCTGCTCTACTGTTCGGCTGATCAGAGAACAGGCTCCTCTGGTTTAATAAGGTCAGATCAGTCTCTGCTCTACTGTTCGGCTGATCAGAGAACAGGCTCCTCTGGTTTAATAAGGTCAGATCAGTCTCTGCTCTACTGTTCGGCTGATCAGAGAACAGGCTCCTCTGGTTTAATAAGGTCAGATCAGTCTCTGCTCTACTGTTCGGCTGATCAGAGAACAGGCTCCTCTGGTTTAATAAGGTCAGATCAGTCTCTGCTCTACTGTTCAGCTGATCAGAGAACAGGCTACTCTGGTTTAATAAGGTCAGATCAGTCTCTGCTCTACTGTTCAGCTGATCAGAGAACAGGCTCCTCTGGTTTAATAAGGTCAGATCAGTCTCTGCTCTACTGTTCAGCTGATCAGAGAACAGGCTCCTCTGGTGAACGGTGCTGGTTTAATAAGGTCAGATCAGTCTCTGCTCTACTGTTCAGCTGATCAGAGAACAGGCTACTCTGGTTTAATAAGGTCAGATCGGTCTCTGCTCTACTGTTCAGCTGATCAGAGAACAGGCTCCTCTGGTTTAATAAGGTCAGATCAGTCTCTGCTCTACTGTTCGGCTGATCAGAGAACAGGCTACTCTGGTGAACGGTGCTGGTTTAATAAGGTCAGATCAGTCTCTGTTCTACTGTTCAGCTGATCAGAGAACAGGCTCCTCTGGTTTAATAAGGTCAGATCAGTCTCTGCTCTACTGTTCAGCTGATCAGAGAACAGGCTACTCTGGTGAACGGTGCTGGTTTAATAAGGTCCGATCAGTCTCTGCTCTACTGTTCGGCTGATCAGAGAACAGGCTCCTCTGGTGAACGGTGCTGGTTTAATAAGGACAGACCAGTCTATATATACTGACAACCCCTCAACACACACTGACTGACAGAGTACTGAGACCAGTCTATATATACTGACAACCCCTCAACACACACTGACTGACAGAGTACTGAGACCAGTCTATATATACTGACAACCCCTCAACACACACTGACTGGGCAGAGTACTGAGACCAGTCTATATATACTGACCCTCAACACACACTGACTGACAGAGTACTGAGACCAGTCTATATATACTGACAACCCCCTCAACACACACTGACTGACAGAGTACTGAGACCAGTCTATATATACTGACAACCCCCTCAACACACACTGACTGACAGAGTACTGAGACCAGTCTATATATACTGACAACCCCTCAACACACACTGACTGACAGAGTACTGAGACCAGTCTATATATACTGACCCTCAACACACACTGACTGACAGAGTACTGAGACCAGTCTATATATACTGACCCTCAACACACACTGACTGGCAGAGTACTGAGACCAGTCTATATATACTGACAACCCCCTCAACACACACTGACTGACAGAGTACTGAGACCAGTCTATATATACTGACAACCCCCTCAACACACACTGACTGACAGAGTACTGAGACCAGTCTATATATACTGACAACCCCTCAACACACACTGACTGGCAGAGTACTGAGACCAGTCTATATATACTGACAACCCCTCAACACACACTGACTGACAGAGTACTGAGACCAGTCTATATATACTGACAACCCCTCAACACACACTGACTGACAGAGTACTGAGACCAGTCTATATATACTGACAACCCCTCAACACACACTGACTGACAGAGTACTGAGACCAGTCTATATATACTGACCCTCAACACACACTGACTGGCAGAGTACTGAGACCAGTCTATATATACTGACAACCCCCTCAACACACACTGACTGACAGAGTACTGAGACCAGTCTATATATACTGACAACCCCCTCAACACACACTGACTGACAGAGTACTGAGACCAGTCTATATATACTGACCCTCAACACACACTGACTGACAGAGTACTGAGACCAGTCTATATATACTGACAACCCCTCAACACACACTGACTGGCAGAGTACTGAGACCAGTCTATATATACTGACAACCCCTCAACACACACTGACTGACAGAGTACTGAGACCAGTCTATATATACTGACAACCCCCTCAACACACACTGACTGACAGAGTACTGAGACCAGTCTATATATACTGACCCTCAACACACACTGACTGACAGAGTACTGAGACCAGTCTATATATACTGACCCTCAACACACACTGACTGGCAGAGTACTGAGACCAGTCTATATATACTGACCCTCAACACACACTGACTGACAGAGTACTGAGACCAGTCTATATATACTGACAACCCCTCAACACACACTGACTGACAGAGTACTGAGACCAGTCTATATATACTGACCCTCAACACACACTGACTGGCAGAGTACTGAGACCAGTCTATATATACTGACAACCCCCTCAACACACACTGACTGGCAGAGTACTGAGACCAGTCTATATATACTGACCCTCAACACACACTGACTGACAGAGTACTGAGACCAGTCTATATATACTGACAACCCCTCAACACACACTGACTGACAGAGTACTGAGACCAGTCTATATATACTGACAACCCCTCAACACACACTGACTGACAGAGTACTGAGACCAGTCTATATATATAACCCCTCAACACACACTGACTGGCAGAGTACTGAGACCAGTCTATATATATAACCCCTCAACACACACTGACTGGCAGAGTACTGAGACCAGTCTATATATACTGACAACCCCTCAACACACACTGACTGACAGAGTACTGAGACCAGTCTATATATACTGACCCTCAACACACACTGACTGACAGAGTACTGAGACCAGTCTATATATATAACCCCTCAACACACACTGACTGACAGAGTACTGAGACCAGTCTATATATACTGACCCTCAACACACACTGACTGACAGAGTACTGAGACCAGTCTATATATACTGACCCTCAACACACACTGACTGACAGAGTACTGAGACCAGTCTATATATACTGACAACCCCCTCAACACACACTGACTGGCAGAGTACTGAGACCAGTCTATATATACTGACCCCTCAACACACACTGACTGACAGAGTACTGAGACCAGTCTATATATACTGACCCTCAACACACACTGACTGACAGAGTACTGAGACCAGTCTATATATACTGACAACCCCCTCAACACACACTGACTGACAGAGTACTGAGACCAGTCTATATATACTGACAACCCCCTCAACACACACTGACTGACAGAGTACTGAGACCAGTCTATATATATAACCCCTCAACACACACTGACTGACAGAGTACTGAGACCAGTCTATATATACTGACCCTCAACACACACTGACTGACAGAGTACTGAGACCAGTCTATATATACTGACAACCCCTCAACACACACTGACTGACAGAGTACTGAGACCAGTCTATATATACTGACCCTCAACACACACTGACTGACAGAGTACTGAGACCAGTCTATATATACTGACAACCCCTCAACACACACTGACTGACAGAGTACTGAGACCAGTCTATATATACTGACCCTCAACACACACTGACTGGCAGAGTACTGAGACCAGTCTATATATACTGACCCTCAACACACACTGACTGACAGAGTACTGAGACCTGTCTATATATACTGACCCTCAACACACACTGACTGACAGAGTACTGAGACCAGTCTATATATACTGACCCTCAACACACACTGACTGACAGAGTACTGAGACCAGTCTATATATACTGACAACCCCTCAACACACACTGACTGACAGAGTACTGAGACCAGTCTATATATACTGACAACCCCCTCAACACACACTGACTGACAGAGTACTGAGACCAGTCTATATATACTGACCCTCAACACACACTGACTGACAGAGTACTGAGACCAGTCTATATATACTGACAACCCCTCAACACACACTGACTGACAGAGTACTGAGACCAGTCTATATATACTGACAACCCCTCAACACACACTGACTGGCAGAGTACTGAGACCAGTCTATATATACTGACAACCCCTCAACACACACTGACTGACAGAGTACTGAGACCAGTCTATATATACTGACCCTCAACACACACTGACTGACAGAGTACTGAGACCAGTCTATATATACTGACAACCCCCTCAACACACACTGACTGGCAGAGTACTGAGACCAGTCTATATATACTGACAACCCCCTCAACACACACTGACTGACAGAGTACTGAGACCAGTCTATATATACTGACCCTCAACACACACTGACTGGCAGAGTACTGAGACCAGTCTATATATACTGACAACCCCCTCAACACACACTGACTGACAGAGTACTGAGACCAGTCTATATATACTGACAACCCCTCAACACACACTGACTGACAGAGTACTGAGACCAGTCTATATATACTGACCCTCAACACACACTGACTGACAGAGTACTGAGACCAGTCTATATATACTGACCCTCAACACACACTGGCTGACAGAGTACTGAGACCAGTCTATATATATAACCCCTCAACACACACTGACTGACAGAGTACTGAGACCAGTCTATATATACTGACCCTCAACACACACTGACTGGCAGAGTACTGAGACCAGTCTATATATACTGACCCTCAACACACACTGACTGACAGAGTACTGAGACCAGTCTATATATACTGACAACCCCTCAACACACACTGACTGACAGAGTACTGAGACCAGTCTATATATACTGACAACCCCTCAACACACACTGACTGACAGAGTACTGAGACCAGTCTATATATACTGACAACCCCTCAACACACACTGACTGACAGAGTACTGAGACCAGTCTATATATACTGACAACCCCTCAACACACACTGACTGACAGAGTACTGAGACCAGTCTATATATACTGACAACCCCCTCAACACACACTGACTGACAGAGTACTGAGACCAGTCTATATATACTGACAACCCCCTCAACACACACTGACTGGCAGAGTACTGAGACCAGTCTATATATATAACCCCTCAACACACACTGACTGACAGAGTACTGAGACCAGTCTATATATACTGACCCTCAACACACACTGACTGACAGAGTACTGAGACCAGTCTATATATACTGACCCTCAACACACACTGACTGACAGAGTACTGAGACCAGTCTATATATACTGACAACCCCTCAACACACACTGACTGACAGAGTACTGAGACCAGTCTATATATACTGACAACCCCTCAACACACACTGACTGACAGAGTACTGAGACCAGTCTATATATACTGACAACCCCCTCAACACACACTGACTGACAGAGTACTGAGACCAGTCTATATATACTGACCCTCAACACACACTGACTGACAGAGTACTGAGACCAGTCTATATATACTGACCCTCAACACACACTGACTGGCAGAGTACTGAGACCAGTCTATATATACTGACAACCCCTCAACACACACTGACTGACAGAGTACTGAGACCAGTCTATATATACTGACAACCCCTCAACACACACTGACTGGCAGAGTACTGAGACCAGTCTATATATACTGACAACCCCTCAACACACACTGACTGGCAGAGTACTGAGACCAGTCTATATATACTGACCCTCAACACACACTGACTGGCAGAGTACTGAGACCAGTCTATATATACTGAACCTCAACACACACTGACTGACAGAGTACTGAGACCAGTCTATATATACTGACCCTCAACACACACTGACTGACAGAGTACTGAGACCAGTCTATATATACTGACCCTCAACACACACTGACTGGCAGAGTACTGAGACCAGTCTATATATACTGACAACCCCTCAACACACACTGACTGACAGAGTACTGAGACCAGTCTATATATACTGACAACCCCTCAACACACACTGACTGGCAGAGTACTGAGACCAGTCTATATATACTGACAACCCCCTCAACACACACTGACTGGCAGAGTACTGAGACCAGTCTATATATACTGACAACCCCTCAACACACACTGACTGACAGAGTACTGAGACCAGTCTATATATACTGACAACCCCTCAACACACACTGACTGGCAGAGTACTGAGACCAGTCTATATATACTGACAACCCCTCAACACACACTGACTGGCAGAGTACTGAGACCAGTCTATATATACTGAACCTCAACACACACTGACTGACAGAGTACTGAGACCAGTCTATATATACTGACCCTCAACACACACTGACTGACAGAGTACTGAGACCAGTCTATATATACTGACCCTCAACACACACTGACTGGCAGAGTACTGAGACCAGTCTATATATACTGACAACCCCTCAACACACACTGACTGACAGAGTACTGAGACCAGTCTATATATACTGACAACCCCTCAACACACACTGACTGGCAGAGTACTGAGACCAGTCTATATATACTGACAACCCCCTCAACACACACTGACTGGCAGAGTACTGAGACCAGTCTATATATACTGACAACCCCTCAACACACACTGACTGGCAGAGTACTGAGACCAGTCTATATATACTGACAACCCCTCAACACACACTGACTGGCAGAGTACTGAGACCAGTCTATATATACACTGACAACCCCCTCAACACACACTGACTGACAGAGTACTGAGACCAGTCTATATATACTGACAACCCCCTCAACACACACTGACTGACAGAGTACTGAGACCAGTCTATATATATAACCCCTCAACACACACTGACTGACAGAGTACTGAGACCAGTCTATATATACTGACAACCCCTCAACACACACTGACTGACAGAGTACTGAGACCAGTCTATATATACTGACCCTCAACACACACTGACTGACAGAGTACTGAGACCAGTCTATATATACTGACAACCCCTCAACACACACTGACTGACAGAGTACTGAGACCAGTCTATATATACTGACAACCCCTCAACACACACTGACTGACAGAGTACTGAGACCAGTCTATATATACTGACAACCCCTCAACACACACTGACTGACAGAGTACTGAGACCAGTCTATATATATAACCCCTCAACACACACTGACTGACAGAGTACTGAGACCAGTCTATATATACTGACAACCCCTCAACACACACTGACTGGCAGAGTACTGAGACCAGTCTATATATACTGACAACCCCTCAACACACACTGACTGACAGAGTACTGAGACCAGTCTATATATACTGACCCTCAACACACACTGACTGACAGAGTACTGAGACCAGTCTATATATACTGACAACCCCCTCAACACACACTGACTGACAGAGTACTGAGACCAGTCTATATATACTGACAACCCCCTCAACACACACTGACTGACAGAGTACTGAGACCAGTCTATATATACTGACAACCCCTCAACACACACTGACTGGCAGAGTACTGAGACCAGTCTATATATACTGACAACCCCTCAACACACACTGACTGACAGAGTACTGAGACCAGTCTATATATACTGACCCTCAACACACACTGACTGACAGAGTACTGAGACCAGTCTATATATACTGACAACCCCCTCAACACACACTGACTGACAGAGTACTGAGACCAGTCTATATATACTGACCCTCAACACACACTGACTGACAGAGTACTGAGACCAGTCTATATATATAACCCCTCAACACACACTGACTGACAGAGTACTGAGACCAGTCTATATATACTGACCCTCAACACACACTGACTGACAGAGTACTGAGACCAGTCTATATATACTGACCCTCAACACACACTGACTGACAGAGTACTGAGACCAGTCTATATATACTGACAACCCCTCAACACACACTGACTGACAGAGTACTGAGACCAGTCTATATATACTGACAACCCCCTCAACACACACTGACTGGCAGAGTACTGAGACCAGTCTATATATACTGACAACCCCCTCAACACACACTGACTGACAGAGTACTGAGACCAGTCTATATATACTGACCCTCAACACACACTGACTGGCAGAGTACTGAGACCAGTCTATATATACTGACCCTCAACACACACTGACTGACAGAGTACTGAGACCAGTCTATAAATACTGACAACCCCTCAACACACACTGACTGGCAGAGTACTGAGACCAGTCTATATATACTGACCCTCAACACACACTGACTGACAGAGTACTGAGACCAGTCTATATATACTGACAACCCCTCAACACACACTGACTGACAGAGTACTGAGACCAGTCTATATATACTGACAACCCCTCAACACACACTGACTGGCAGAGTACTGAGACCAGTCTATATATACTGACAACCCCTCAACACACACTGACTGACAGAGTACTGAGACCAGTCTATATATACTGACCCTCAACACACACTGACTGGCAGAGTACTGAGACCAGTCTATATATACTGACAACCCCCTCAACACACACTGACTGACAGAGTACTGAGACCAGTCTATATATACTGACAACCCCTCAACACACACTGACTGACAGAGTACTGAGACCAGTCTATATATACTGACAACCCCCTCAACACACACTGACTGACAGAGTACTGAGACCAGTCTATATATACTGACAACCCCTCAACACACACTGACTGACAGAGTACTGAGACCAGTCTATATATACTGACAACCCCTCAACACACACTGACTGGCAGAGTACTGAGACCAGTCTATATATACTGACCCTCAACACACACTGACTGACAGAGTACTGAGACCAGTCTATATATACTGACAACCCCTCAACACACACTGACTGGCAGAGTACTGAGACCAGTCTATATATACTGACCCTCAACACACACTGACTGACAGAGTACTGAGACCAGTCTATATATATAACCCCTCAACACACACTGACTGACAGAGTACTGAGACCAGTCTATATACTGACCCCCCCAGTCTATATATATATAACCCTAACCCAACCCAACCCAACCCAACCCAACCCCCCCGGGAGACACACACACACGAGTGCCTGGAAGCAAATGGGTCAGCCTCAGTGCAGCACCCCTGGTGCAATTGTAGAGGGTTAGGTGCTTTGCTCAAGGGCACAACAGCAGCTGATGGTATCTAGGATGACGCCAGCCACACTATGTTTAGCCGGCTCACTCCACACCAGATTTTTTCCGGTCAGAGCTGGGATTCGAACCGGCAAAACCCCTCTGGTTGCTGGGGACGCTTCTCCAAACGCCGGGCTACCTTACCTCTGAGAAGGTCAGGTGGGGGAGGGGCTGGAGGGAGGAGCCAGAGGGCTGGGGGGAGGGGCTAGCTGCCTGGGGGTGTGGCTGAGGGCCAGCGGCTTGGTAGTCGACAGACATGATGCGTAGAGAGAAATGGTTCAGGTCGAAGGAACCGATCACTCTGGGGTCATCAGGGATGGTCCGGACCGGGAGGGGACCCACCTGGACAGGAGGACAGAATATAAAAACACTGGTCAGTACAGTACATACAAAACACACCCCCCCCTCCAGGTCATACCTGTTCAGAGAACTCTGCCACCAGTATGAAGTCCCTGTTGAAAGCGGCAGGGGAGGCCCAGGGGTGGGAGGGGGGGAGGAGAGGGAGGGAGAACTCCTCTGGAAGGTCCTGGGGGTCTGGGTACCCCCCCTCCCTGAACCCCCCCAACCCCTCTTCACTGGTGAAGGCCAGCACATCAGGAGAACCGATCATGTCGTCATAAAATCAACCCCCAGGTCTCTGTTGTCCTGTGTTGATCCTAGAGACACGGTGTGTGTGTTGGTCACTTGTCCAGTCCTTCTCGTGTCCCCCGTTAACGTTAATGTTATTGCGCCCGTGAGTCAGTTTCGGCACCGGAGAGCTAACTGTCACTCACTGACCGGGTAACTGGTTTTAAAAAGTCTTGTTGTCGTGCAGTTGAAACTTAAATAATACACTTCCAACTAAAAGCGAAACAAACATGGTAAACTTTCACTTCTCATTAATGTATTTAGGTCGGTGTCCGGTCCTAAACATTTGACTTACCGACGTCGTGGCCTTAAAGGCAACAGCAGCTGTCCTGTCGCAGCGACAAAAACATGTCAACAAACACAAAGTCACCTACGACAGGAGCGTTAAATAACGGCGAGAAACAGATCCGTTGGGAGGGAAGGAAAGCCGAGTCACACGGTCAACTTTTGGTCCATCTCGCGGTAGGCCCGGTTCCTCTTTTCGCTTCCGTACGGAGTAATGAATTCAACTTTTACCGGGAACTCGCAGCACGGCGGAGAGAGCAGAGAAGTGTGTGTGTCACGTCTTCAGACAGCGAGCACAACTCCAGCCATATTTAGCCATGTGACAACCGCCGGTAGTGCGCGAGGAGACGCCGTTGTTCACGCGCATTCTTTACCCCGGTGATGAATCCGTCCCGAGGCCCCTCCGGGAGAGTTGTGTAAGAACTGAAGCACCGCCGCCAGCGTCCGGTAGAGATATGTCAAGTCAAGCCTCGGCAGGGACAGATCATTGGGTGGAAAATAAACGGGATTGATTTGTGGAGGGGAAAGCAGCTATTTACTGACGCAAGCTTGGATTTGTAGTTCAATCATGACCCGATAGACTACAATTTATAATATAATATGCTTTTATCCAAAGCGACTTACAGGTCATGTGTGCCTACATTTTTATGTATGGGTGGTCCCGGGGATCGAACCCACTACCCTGGCGTTACAAGCGCCATGCTCTACCAATTGAGCTACAGAGGACCATTACAACTTGGGGAAAAAAAATGCATCATGAAAAAGTGATCTTTTAACAGAAATGTCTACAATGTTGGATTTAACTTGACAGAATTGAACCACCCTACACATATGGTATAAACATAATGAGGCCATTAACAGAAGCTCAGCAGAAAACATTTATTTATCAGGGCTTCAACTTAAAAACAAAACCTCCGCAAAATGATTTCAAACACACACATTATGAAACCGTAAAACAGAAAAGGCGATGACTTCATTCAGTAGCTGTGTGAGAGGATATAATGACGGTTGGGTTTTAAATCAGATTTTAAATTAGAGAAATTGTAGAAATATGCGGGGTTTATCCGGTCCCCCTTTGTGGCTGTGGTAACTAGTGATGACCGGGTTACCCTGTGTAGTCCAGTCTGCCCATAGAGAACGATAGAGGACCTTTAGTGGCCGAACGGCCATTTTAGCGTTTGCAGCGCCATTAGTTTAAAGTGGCCGACCGGGTGGGGATTCCTATGGGGTGGTAGGCTCAATGGCGCTGGCCAACGCTAAAACAGCCTTCTGGACAGAGCTGTGCCAGATGTAGATATATAGTCGGCAGCAGGACAAAACCAAAGCCAAGCCTCTGGCACTATGGCTGCGTTTTAACACAAGGCAACCTAATTCTGGACAAATGATCAGAATCGGGTGCCTGTGGAAACGCAGCCTTAAGTCTCCTTTAACCTTCATCTACTTTCCTAGGCACAGTCCATCATCATCATCATCATCATCAGTCTCTGTGCTGCTCAGTCAGAGCTCCTCAACTCATCCATACCATATTACTCATTCTACATGTTAGTCATTTAGCAGACGCTCTTATCCAGAGCCACTAACAGTTAGTGAGTGCATACATTGTCATACTGGTCGTACACCATGTGTAGATGATATATCTCTGCTACATACAGTCAGTCTGTCTGTCAGTCTACCGGCCTGTCAGTCTGTCTGTCAGTCAGTCAGTCTGTCTACCGGTCTGTCAGTCAGTCAGTCTGTCTACCGGTCTGTCAGTCAGTCAGTCAGTCTACCGGTCTGTCAGTCTGTCTACCGGCCTGTCAGTCTGTCTACCGGCCTGTCAGCCTGTCTACCGGCCTGTCAGTCTGTCTACCGGTCTGTCAGCCTGTCTACCGGTCTGTCAGTCTGTCTACCGGTCTGTCAGTCTGTCTACCGGTCTGTCAGTCTGTCTACCGGTCTGTCAGTCTGTCTACCGGCCCATAGCATCATATTCCCTATGTAGGGCACTACTCCTGACCAGGCCCATAGCATCATATTCCCTATGTAGGGCACTACTTTTGACCAGGCCCACAGCATCATATTCCCTATGTAGGGCACTACTCCTGACCAGGCCTGACCAATGGTCTAAAGTAGTGCACTATATAGGGAATATGATGCCATTTGGTACAGATCCCAGTAGATCTGGTACTATGAAGTACCTACATGCCAGTACCCTGTTATACATATCCATATTATTATTATTATTATATCTGAACAATATGTCCTGGTCTCAGTAGAGAGGTATATGGTATAACTCATCCATAGAAGTCAGTGTGATGGTGCTGTCTGTGTTCTATAACCTCATACAGGGCCTCTTCCTCTGTGACACCAGGTTATATATTTCTATATGAGCAGAATCTCCGGTTCAGAGACAGCGCAGTACAACGTAAACCCCATCTGGTCGATCTCCTCCTCCGTCAGTCCGTTCAACGTGTTCGCGCCGGGCTTGAAGTAGCTGGGCAACACCCCTTGCTCCAGATAGCCTATCAGCTCCCACACACACTGCTGGAACCGCCCACTCAGACACTCCTCCGACCAATCCAGGTCCTTGTCCCCGAGGTGGAGGATGAGGTTGGCCAGCGGCGCGGCGGTGAGGGGTCGCAGGGCGGGACAGTGTCGACAGACGGCTTTGAGGGTTTTGAGGAGGGTACGTCGGACCCCCTGGTCCGCTGAGTCAAGCTGGGCCAGGCGCTGGGTCTCCCAGGGGTAGAGGGAGAGGTGCCAGGCACTATCCCAGGGTTGGGTTAACTCTACCTGGGCAGTCAGGACCACGTCTGCCTCCCTCAGCACCGGCACCATGGAGATGAAGAGAGAATCACCTCGCTCTGGTCTGGAGACACACAGAGAGAGACATATCAGTTATGTATTAACCCTAAACCCTGACCTTTAACCCCTAACCCTAACTAACGCAGTGAGACATCAGTCATGTATTAACCCTGACCTTTAACCCTAGCTGTCAGGATCATGGAGATGAACAGGGGGTCACCACGCTCAGATCTGGAGAGACAGATATACACATTAACCCTGACCTTTAACCCTAACCCTCAGGTCTGGAGAGACAGATATACACATTAACCTTAACCCTGACCTTTAACCCTGACCTTTAATCCTAACCCTCAGGTCTATGGAGATGTCGTCCCACGTCAAAGCACTGACCAATGTTCCCTCTAAGCTGTGTGGGTGTGCAGCTCCCCAGGACTGCCATGCAGAATAAATATAATCTAAGCTGTGTGGGTGTGCAGCTCCCCAGGACTGCCATGCAGAATAAATATAATCTAAGCTGTGTGGGTGTGCAGCTCCCCAGGACTGCCATGCAGAATAAATATAATCTAAGCTGTGTGGGTGTGCAGCTCCTCAGGACTGCCGTGCAGAATAAATATAATCTAAGCTGTGTGGGTGTGCAGCTCCCCAGGACTGCCGTGCAGAATAAATATAATCTAAGCTGTGTGGGTGTGCAGCTCCCCAGGACTGCCATGCAGAATAAATATAATCTAAGCTGTGTGGGTGTGCAGCTCCTCAGGACTGCCGTGCAGAATAAATATAATCTAAGCTGTGTGGGTGTGCAGCTCCCCAGGACTGCCCTGCAGAATAAATATAATCTAAGCTGTGTGGGTGTGCAGCTCCCCAGGACTGCCATGCAGAATAAATATAATCTAAGCTGAGTGGGTGTGCAGCTCCCCAGGACTGCCATGCAGAATAAATATAATCTAAGCTGTGTGGGTGTGCAGCTCCTCAGGACTGCCGTGCAGAATAAATATAATCTAAGCTGTGTGGGTGTGCAGCTCCCCAGGACTGCCGTCCAGAATAAATATAATCTAAACTGTGTGGGTGTGCAGCTCCCCAGGACTGCCCTGCAGAATAAATATAATCTAAGCTGTGTGGGTGTGCAGCTCCCCAGGACTGCCGTGCAGAATAAATATAATCTAAGCTGTGTGGGTGTGCGGCTCCCCAGGACTGCCGTGCAGAATAAATATAATCTAAGCTGTGTGGGTGTGCAGCTCCCCAGGACTGCCATGCAGAATAAATATAATCTAAGCTGTGTGGGTGTGCAGCTCCCCAGGACTGCCATGCAGAATAAATATAATCTAAGATGTGTGGGTGTGCAGCTCCCCAGGACTGCCATGCAGAATAAATATAATCTAAGCTGTGTGGGTGTGCAGCTCCCCAGGACTGCCGTGCAGAATAAATATAATCTAAGCTGTGTGGGTGTGCAGCTCCCCAGGACTGCCATGCAGAATAAATATAATCTAAGCTGTGTGGGTGTGCAGCTCCCCAGGACTGCCATGCAGAATAAATATAATCTAAGCTGTGTGGGTGTGCAGCTCCTCAGGACTGCCATGCAGAATAAATATAATCTAAGCTGTGTGGGTGTGCAGCTCCCCAGGACTGCCGTGCAGAATAAATATAATCTAAGCTGTGTGGGTGTGCAGCTCCCCAGGACTGCCATGCAGAATAAATATAATCTAAGCTGTGTGGGTGTGCAGCTCCCCAGGACTGCCGTGCAGAATAAATATAATCTAAACTGTGTGGGTGTGCAGCTCCCCAGGACTGCCATGCAGAATAAATATAATCTAAGCTGTGTGGGTGTGCAGCTCCCCAGGACTGCCGTGCAGAATAAATATAATCTAAGCTGTGTGGGTGTGCAGCTCCCCAGGACTGCCATGCAGAATAAATATAATCTAAGCTGTGTGGGTGTGCAGCTCCTCAGGACTGCCGTGCAGAATAAATATAATCTAAGCTGTGTGGGTGTGCAGCTCCCCAGGACTGCCGTGCAGAATAAATATAATCTAAGCTGTGTGGGTGTGCAGCTCCCCAGGACTGCCGTGCAGAATAAATATAATCTAAGCTGTGTGGGTGTGCAGCTCCCCAGGACTGCCGTGCAGAATAAATATAATCTAAGCTGTGTGGGTGTGCAGCTCCCCAGGACTGCCATGCAGAATAAATATAATCTAAGATGTGTGGGTGTGCAGCTCCCCAGGACTGCCGTGCAGAATAAATATAATCTAAGCTGTGTGGGTGTGCAGCTCCTCAGGACTGCCATGCAGAATAAATATAATCTAAGCTGTGTGGGTGTTTCAGCTCCCCAGGACTGCCATGCAGAATAAATATAATCTAAGCTGTGTGGGTGTGCAGCTCCTCAGGACTGCCGTGCAGAATAAATATAATCTAAGCTGTGTGGGTGTGCAGCTCCCCAGGACTGCCGTGCAGAATAAATATAATCTAAACTGTGTGGGTGTGCAGCTCCCCAGGACTGCCGTGCAGAATAAATATAATCTAAGCTGTGTGGGTGTGCAGCTCCCCAGGACTGCCGTGCAGAATAAATATAATCTAAGCTGTGTGGGTGTGCAGCTCCCCAGGACTGCCGTGCAGAATAAATATAATCTAAGCTGTGTGGGTGTGCAGCTCCCCAGGACTGCCGTGCAGAATAAATATAATCTAAGCTGTGTGGGTGTGCAGCTCCCCAGGACTGCCCTGCAGAATAAATATAATCTAAGCTGTGTGGGTGTGCAGCTCCTCAGGACTGCCGTGCAGAATAAATATAATCTAAGCTGTGTGGGTGTGCAGCTCCCCAGGACTGCCGTGCAGAATAAATATAATCTAAGCTGTGTGGGTGTGCAGCTCCCCAGGACTGCCATGCAGAATAAATATAATCTAAGATGTGTGGGTGTGCAGCTCCCCAGGACTGCCGTGCAGAATAAATATAATCTAAGCTGTGTGGGTGTGCAGCTCCTCAGGACTGCCATGCAGAATAAATATAATCTAAGCTGTGTGGGTGTTTCAGCTCCCCAGGACTGCCATGCAGAATAAATATAATCTAAGCTGTGTGGGTGTGCAGCTCCTCAGGACTGCCGTGCAGAATAAATATAATCTAAGCTGTGTGGGTGTGCAGCTCCCCAGGACTGCCGTGCAGAATAAATATAATCTAAACTGTGTGGGTGTGCAGCTCCCCAGGACTGCCGTGCAGAATAAATATAATCTAAGCTGTGTGGGTGTGCAGCTCCCCAGGACTGCCGTGCAGAATAAATATAATCTAAGCTGTGTGGGTGTGCAGCTCCCCAGGACTGCCGTGCAGAATAAATATAATCTAAGCTGTGTGGGTGTGCAGCTCCCCAGGACTGCCGTGCAGAATAAATATAATCTAAGCTGTGTGGGTGTGCAGCTCCCCAGGACTGCCCTGCAGAATAAATATAATCTAAGCTGTGTGGGTGTGCAGCTCCTCAGGACTGCCGTGCAGAATAAATATAATCTAAGCTGTGTGGGTGTGCAGCTCCCCAGGACTGCCGTGCAGAATAAATATAATCTAAGCTGTGTGGGTGTGCAGCTCCCCAGGACTGCCGTGCAGAATAAATATAATCTAAGCTGTGTGGGTGTGCAGCTCCCCAGGACTGCCGTGCAGAATAAATATAATCTAAGCTGTGTGGGTGTGCAGCTCCCCAGGACTGCCGTGCAGAATAAATATAATCTAAGCTGTGTGGGTGTGCAGCTCCCCAGGACTGCCCTGCAGAATAAATATAATCTAAGCTGTGTGGGTGTGCAGCTCCTCAGGACTGCCGTGCAGAATAAATATAATCTAAGCTGTGTGGGTGTGCAGCTCCCCAGGACTGCCGTGCAGAATAAATATAATCTAAGCTGTGTGGGTGTGCAGCTCCCCAGGACTGCCATGCAGAATAAATATAATCTAAGATGTGTGGGTGTGCAGCTCCCCAGGACTGCCGTGCAGAATAAATATAATCTAAGCTGTGTGGGTGTGCAGCTCCTCAGGACTGCCATGCAGAATAAATATAATCTAAGCTGTGTGGGTGTTTCAGCTCCCCAGGACTGCCATGCAGAATAAATATAATCTAAGCTGTGTGGGTGTGCAGCTCCTCAGGACTGCCGTGCAGAATAAATATAATCTAAGCTGTGTGGGTGTGCAGCTCCCCAGGACTGCCGTGCAGAATAAATATAATCTAAACTGTGTGGGTGTGCAGCTCCCCAGGACTGCCGTGCAGAATAAATATAATCTAAGCTGTGTGGGTGTGCAGCTCCCCAGGACTGCCGTGCAGAATAAATATAATCTAAGCTGTGTGGGTGTGCAGCTCCCCAGGACTGCCGTGCAGAATAAATATAATCTAAGCTGTGTGGGTGTGCAGCTCCCCAGGACTGCCGTGCAGAATAAATATAATCTAAGCTGTGTGGGTGTGCAGCTCCCCAGGACTGCCCTGCAGAATAAATATAATCTAAGCTGTGTGGGTGTGCAGCTCCTCAGGACTGCCGTGCAGAATAAATATAATCTAAGCTGTGTGGGTGTGCAGCTCCCCAGGACTGCCGTGCAGAATAAATATAATCTAAGCTGTGTGGGTGTGCAGCTCCCCAGGACTGCCGTGCAGAATAAATATAATCTAAGCTGTGTGGGTGTGCAGCTCCCCAGGACTGCCATGCAGAATAAATATAATCTAAGCTGTGTGGGTGTGCAGCTCCCCAGGACTGCCGTGCAGAATAAATATAATCTAAGCTGTGTGGGTGTGCAGCTCCCCAGGACTGCCGTGCAGAATAAATATAATCTAAGCTGTGTGGGTGTGCAGCTCCCCAGGACTGCCATGCAGAATAAATATAATCTAAGCTGTGTGGGTGTGCAGCTCCCCAGGACTGCCGTGCAGAATAAATATAATCTAAGCTGTGTGGGTGTGCAGCTCCCCAGGACTGCCGTGCAGAATAAATATAATCTAAGATGTGTGGGTGTGCAGCTCCCCAGGACTGCCGTGCAGAATAAATATAATCTAAACTGTGTGGGTGTGCAGCTCCCCAGGACTGCCGTGCAGAATAAATATAATCTAAGCTGTGTGGGTGTGCAGCTCCCCAGGACTGCCGTGCAGAATAAATATCATCTAAGAGAGAGCTACATGTAGCCATGTTAATATCCTTTGCTAGTTAGCGAGTTATTAGCCCAGTTATACAGTGCCTTGCAAAAGTATTCATCCCCCTTGGCGTTTTTCCTATTTTGTTGCATTACATACAACCTGTAATTTAAATGGATTTTTATTTGGATTTCATGTAATGGACATACACAAAATAGTCCAAATTGGTGAAGTGAAATTTAAAAAATAACTTGTTTCAAAAAAATCTCTAAAGTAAATAACGGAAAAGTGGTGCGTGCATATGTATTCACCCCCTTTGCTATGAAACCCCTAAATAAGATCTGGTGCAACCAATTACCTTCATAAGTCACACAATTAGTTAAATAAAGTCCACCTGTGTGCAATCTAAGTGTCACATGATCTCAGTATATATACACCTGTTCTGAAAGGCCCCAGAGTCTGCAACACCACTAAGCAAGGGGTACCATGAAGACCAAGGAGCTCTCCAAACAGGTCAGGGACAAAGTTGTGGAGAAGTACAGATCAGGGTTGGGTTATAAAAAAATATCCGAAACTTTGAACATCCCACAGAGCACCATTAAATCCATTATTAAAAAATTGAAAGAATATGGCACCACAACAAACCTGCCAAGAGAGGGACGCCCATCAAAACTCACAGACCAGGCAAGGAGGGCATTAATCAGAGAGGCAACAAAGAGACCAAAGATAACCCTGAAGGAGCTGCAAAGCTCCACAGCGGAGATTGGAGTATCTGTCCATAGGACCACTTTAAGCCGTACACTCCACAGAGCTGAGCTTTACGGAAGAGTGGCCAGAAAAAAGCCATTGCTTAAAGGAAAAAATAAGCAAACACGTTTGTTGTTCGCCAAAAGGCATGTGGGAGACTCCCAAAACATATGGAAGAAGGTACTCTGATCAGATGAGACTAAAATTGAGCTTTTTGGCCATCAAGGAAAACGCTATTTCTGGCGCAAACCCAACACCTCTCATCACCCCGAGAACACCATCCCCACAGTGAAGCATGGTGGTGGCAGCATCATGCTGTGGGGATGTTTTTCATCGGCAGGGACTGGGAAACTGGTCAGGATTGAAGGAATGACGGATGGCGCTAAATACAGGGAAATTCTTGAGGGAAACCTGTTTCAGTCTTCCAGAGATTTGAGACTGGGACCGAGGTTCACCTTCCAGTAGGACAATGACCCTAAGCATACTGTTAAAGCAACACTCGAGTGGTTTAAGGGGAAACATTTAAAATGTCTTGGAATGGCCTAGTCAAAGCCCAGACCTCAATCTAATTGTGAATCTGTGGTATGACTTAAAGATTGCTGTACACCAGCGGAACCCATCCAAGTTGAAGGAGCTGGAGCAGTTTTGCCTTGAAGAATGGGCAAAAATCCCAGTGGCTAGATGTGCCAAGCTTATAGAGACATACTCCAAGAGACTTGCAGCTGTAATTGCTGCAAAAGGTGGCTCTACAAATTATTGACTTTGGGGGGGGGGGTGAATAGTTATGCACGCTCAAGTTTTCTGTTTTTTTGTCTTATTTCATGTTTGTTTCACAATTTTTTTTATTTTGCATCTTCAAAGTGGTAGGCATGTTGTGTAAATCAAATTATACAAACCCCCCCCAAAAAATCATTTTAATTCCAGGTTGTAAGGCAACAAAATAGGAAAAATACCAAGGGGGGTGTGAATAATTTCGCAAGCCGCTGTAGATCATCTGTAGTCTGCAATAGGGGAGTGGTTGCTTCCTACAAGAGAACAGAACGTGACATCTTTGAAAAGCCAGTCGGGTAAAGAGCTTTTTTTTTATGTCTTAAAGGGGCAGTGTTGTATTTTGAGACAGGCTTGAATAAGCTAAGTAGCATAATTTGTCTGATTCTCTGTAATAATGGTATGGGAATAATAATGCATTTTTATTTTGTAAAGTGGTTTCTTGCATCAAACAACACATTTTCAGTTCCCTCCTCCTTGTCTGAAGGACCAGTGGATAAACAGGTTCATGCCAAGCCCTGCATGTTTTTCTTCAGACGTCTCATGGAAGCCGACATTGAACACCACACATTGGCTGCTACTGTAGGCTGAATGATAGAACAGCTATTTCCATGTTAAAATGTTATGGGATGCATTTTCTCCATAGTTTTTTGATGGTAGGCCACTCTGGTAGGCCTACATTATGATCAAATAGCCACAGTAGCCTACTGGGCCACTGTTAAAACTGGAACCTAAAGCAGGTTCAGCCTCAGTGTTCACAGTAAACTGCTCTAGAGGAGATTGGAGGGAGTTGAAAGTCCGTGTTGCCCAGCGACAGCCCCAAAACATCACTGCTCTAGAGGAGATCTGCATGGAGGAATGGGCCAAAATACCAGCAACAGTGTGTGAAAACCTTGTGAAGACTTACAGAAAACGTTTGACCTGTGTCATTGCCAACAAAGGATATATAACAAAGTATTGAGAAACTTTTGTTATTGACCAAATACTTATTTTCCACCATAATTTGCAAATAAATTCATTAAAAATCCTACAATGTGATTTTCTGGATTTTTTTCCCTCAATTTGTCTGTCATAGTTGACGTGTACCTATGATGAAAATTTACAGGCCTCTCTCATCTTTTTAAGTGGGAGAACTTGCACAATTGGTGGCTGACTAAATACTTTTTTCCCCACTGTACTAACTACTGAGATATGTGACTATCCCAACCTAGATATCTCAAGATGAAGACACTAACTACTGAGATATGTGACTGTCCCAACCTAGATATCTCAAGATGAAGACACTAACTACTGAGATATGTGACTGTCCCAACCTAGATATCTCAAGATGAAGACACTAACTACTGAGATATGTGACTGTCCCAACCTAGATATCTCAAGATGAAGACACTAACTGGAAGTCTCTCTGGATAAGAGCGTCTGCTGAACGGGGTAAATGTGTGAGATACCGTATCTCCAGTTTCAGTTCATCCCCCCCGAGGACAGGCCGGACCCGACAGTCAAGAGAAGAGGAGAGGGACGGCCAGTTCATGGTTTCCATCACAGCCTTACTGAGCATGCTCACCATCGCCCTGCACGATAGATACCCTCCCACTAGGAACCTAGAGGAGGAGAGAGAGACAGCCTTACTGAGCATGCTCACCATCAACCGCTGCACGATAGATACCCTCCCACTAGGAACCTAGAGGAGGAGAGAGAGACAGCCTTACTGAGCATGCTCACCATCACCCTGCAAACGATAGATACCTCCCAATAGGAACCTAAAGGAGGAGAGAGAGACCGCCTTACTGAAGCATGCTCACCATCACCCTGCACGATAGATTACCCTCCCACTAGGAACCGAGAGGAGGAAGAGAGACAGCCCTTACTGAGGTCATGCTCACCATCCACCCTGCACGATAGATACCCTCCCACTAGGAACCTAGAGGAGGAGAGAGAGACAGCCTTACTGATTATGCTCACCATCACCCTGCACGATAGATACCCTCCCACTAGGAACCTAGAGGAGGAGAGAGAGACAGCCTTACTGAGCATGCTCACCATCACCCTGCACGATAGATACCCTCCCACTAGGAACCTAGAGGAGAGAGAGACAGCCTTACTGAGCATGCTCACCATCACCCTGCACGATAGATACCCTCCCACTAGGAACCTAGAGGAGGAGAGAGAGACAGCCTTACTGAGCATGCTCACCATCACCCTGCACGATAGATACCCTCCCACTAGGAACCTAGAGGAGAGAGGACATCCTTACTGAGCTGCTCACCATCACCCTGCACGATAGATACCCTCCCACTAGGAACCTAGAGGAGGAGAGAGAGACAGCCTTACTGAGCATGCTCACCATCACCCTGCACGATAGATACCTCCCACTAGAACCTGAGGGAGGAGAGAGAGACCAGCCTTACGAAGCATGCTCACCATCACCCTGCACGATAGATACCCGCACCACTATGAACCTATAGAGGAGAAGGACAGCCTTACTGAGCATGCTCACTCATCACCCTGCACGATAGATACATACCCTCCCACTAGAACCTAGAGGAGGAGAGAGACACCTTACTGCGGCATGCTCACCCATCATCCTGCCTATAATCCCCTCTCCACTAGAACCTAGAGAGAGAGAGAGACATCCTTACTGAGGCATGCTCACCATCACCCTGCCCGATAAGATACCCTCCCACTAGGAGACCTAGAGGCGAAGAGATACCGCCCTTACTGACTGCTCACCATCACCCTGCACGATAATACCTCCCTAGGACCTAGCGGAGGAAGAGAGACGCCTTACTGAGCATGCTCATCACACCCTGCCAACATAGATACCCTCCCACTAGGAACCTAGAGAGGAGAGAGAGACAGCCCTTACTGAGCATAGCTCACCATCACCCTGCACGATAGATACCCTCCCACTAGGAACCTAGAGGAGGAGAGAGAGACAGCCTTACTGAGCATGCTCACCATCACCCTGCACGATAGATACCCTCCCACTAGGAACCTAGAGGAGGAGAGAGACAGCCTTACTGAGCATGCTCACCATCACCCTGCACGATAGATACCCTCCCACTAGGAACCTAGAGGAGGAGAGAGAACGCCTTACTGAGCATGCTCACCATCACCCTGCACGATAGATACCCTCCCACTAGGAAACCTAGAGGAGGAGAGAGACAGCCTTACTGAGCATGCTCACCATCACCCTGCACGATAGATACCCTCCCACTAGGACCTAGAGGAGGAGAGAGACAGCCTTACTGAGCATGCTCACCATCACCCTGCACGATAGATACCCTCCCACTAGGAACCTAGAGGAGGAGAGAGACAGCCTTACTGAGCATGCTCACCATCACCCTGCACGATAGATACCCTCCCACTAGGAACCTAGAGAGGAGATAGCAGCCTTACTAGCATGCTCACCATCACCCTGCCGATAGTACCCTCCACTAGTAGCCTATAGAGGAGATAGAACAGCCTTAACGGATCATGCTCAACATCACCCTTGCAACGATAGATACCCTCCCACTAGGAACCTAGAGGAGGAGAGACAGCCTTACTGAGCATGCTCACCATCACCTCACCCCCTGCACGATAGATACCCTCCCACTAGGAACCTAGAGGAGGAGAGAGAGACAGCCTTACTGAGCATGCTCACCACCTCCTAGAGAGACACACAGACTGACAATTACTAGCTGGGCCAGAAATCTAGAGATCCCTTCACATTCAAATCTGGAACCTCCAAGTCGCTTTCTTCCACTGTTCCCCTCTAATCAGGGACTGATTTAGACCTGGGACACCAGGCAGGACAGGACTGATTTAGACCTGGGACACCAGGCAGGCCCGACCGATTAGACCTTGGACCCAGGCAGGACAGGACAGATTTATGACCTTTGACAACCAGGCAGGACAAGACTGATTAGCTGGCCCAGGCAGAACAGGACAGATTTAGACCTGGGACACCAGGCAGGACAGATTTAGACCTGGGACACCAGGCGGACCAGGACAGATTTAGACCTGGGACACCAGGCAGGACAGGACAGATTTAGACCTGGGACACCAGGCAGGACAGGACAGATTTAGACCTGGGACACCAGGCAGTACAGGACTGATTTAGACCTGGGACACCAGGCAGGACAGGACAGATTTAGACCTGGGACACCAGGCAGGACAGGACATATTTCAATACCCCTGGTCTGGGACCATATGGATAATGATCAGTAGATGGACAGATTTACAATACCCCTGGTCTGGACATTGGATAATGATCAGGCAGAAACAGGACAGATTTAAATACCCCTGGTCTGGAATATTGGATACTGAATCAGGCAGAACAGGACCGATTTAAATAACCCTGTCTGACAATATGATAAGGATCAGCAGAACAGGAACGATTTAAATAAAATCCCCTGGTCTGGACAATAATGGATAATGATCAGGTAAGAACAGGACAGATTTAATACCGCCTTGTCTGGACAAATGATAATTATCGGCAGAACAGGACAGATTTAAATACCCCTGGTCTGGACAATATGGAATTAATGATCAGGCAGAACTGACTAGATTTAAATACCCCTGGTCTGGACCAATTATGGGATAATGATCAGGCAGACAGGACAGAGTTAATAACCCCTGGGTCTGGACAATATGATAATTATCAGGCAGTAACAGGACAAGTTAAATACCCTGGTCTGGACACTAGGGAGCTGAATCCGGTAGAACCGACAGATTTAAATACCCCTTGCTGGACAAATGATCAGGTAGAGGGGACAGATTTAAATACCCCTGGTCGGACAATATGGATAATGATCAGGTAGAGGGTACATATTTAATACCCCTGGTCTGACAATATGGATAATGATCAGTAGAGGGGACAGAATTTAACTACCCTGGTCTGGACAATATGGATACTGATTCCGGTAGAGGGACAGTTTATAAATACCCCTGGTCTGGACAATTAATGGTAATGATCAGGAGAGGGGACATAATTTAAATCCCCTGGTTCTAGACAATAGGATTAATGATCAGGTAGAAAGGAACAGATTTAAAATCCCGTGTCGGACAATATGGATAAGGATCAGTGAACAGGACCAGATTTAAATCCCCTGGTCTGGACAATATGGATAATGACAGGTAGAACAGGACAGTTTAAATACCCCTGTCTGGCAATTGGATACTGATCAGGTAGAACAGGACAAGAGTTCAATACCCCTGGTCTGGACAATATGGAAAATGATCAGGTAGAGGGGACAGATTTTAAATACCCCTGGTCCTGGACACTATGGATAATGATCAGGTAGAGGGGACAGATTTCAATACCCTTGGTCTGGATAATATGGAATAATGATCAGGTAAACAGGACAGATTTAATACCCCTGGGTTGGACAATATGGATAATGATATGTAGAACAGTCCATATTTAAATACCCCTTGTCTTAACTATGTATAATGAAATCAGGTAGAGGGGGGACAGATTTAAATACCCCTGGTCTGGAACAATATGGATAATGATCAGGTAAACAGGACAGATTTAAATCACCCCTGGTCTGGACAATATGGATATGATCAGGCAGAGGGACCGATTTAAATACCCCTGGTCCTGGACAATATGGATATGATCAGGTAGACAGGACAGATTTAAATACCCCTGGTCTGGACAATATGGATAATGTCAGGTAGAACAGACAGAGTTAAATACCCTGGTCTGGACAATATGGATATGATCAGTAGAACGGACAGATTTAAATAACCCCTGGTCTGGACAATATGGAATAATGATCAGGTAGCACAGGACAAGTTAAATACCCCTGGTCTGGGACAATATGGATAATGATCAGGTAAGGGGACAGATTTAAACACCCCTGGTCTTGTGGACAATATGGATAATGAATCATGTTAGAAAGGGACAGATTTAAATACCCCTGGTCTGGACAATATGGATAATGATCAGGTAGAGGGGACAGATTTAAATACCCCTGGTCTGGACAATATGGATAATGATCAGGCAGAACAGGACAGATTTAAATACCCCTGGTCTGGACAATATGGATAATGATCAGGCAGAACAGGACAGATTTAAATACCCCTGGTCTGGACAATATGGATAATGATCAGGTAGAACAGGACAGATTTAAATACCCCTGGTCTGGACAATATGGATAATGATCAGTAGAACAGGACAGATTTAAATACCCCTGTCTGGACCATATGGATAATTCAGTAGAGGGACAGATTTAAATACCCCTGGTCTGGACAATATGGATAATGATCAGGTAGAAGAGGACAGATTTAAATACCCCTGGTCTGGACAATATGGATAATGATCAGGTAGAGAGGACAGATTTAAATACCCCTGGTCTGGACAATATGGATAATGATCAGGTAGAGGGGACAGATTTAAATACCCCTGGTCTGGACAATATGGATAATGATCAGGCAGAGGGGACAGATTTAAATAACCCCTGGGTCTGGACAATATGATAATGAATCAGTAGAGAGACAAGATTTAAATACCCCTGGTCGTACATATGGAATAATGATCAGGTAGAGGGACCGATTTAATACCCCCTGGTCTGTGACAATATGGATAATGATCAGGTAGAGGGGACCAGTTTAATACCCTTGTCTGGATCATTGGATTGATCAGGTAGAGGGGAACAGATTTTAAATACCCCTGGTCCCGGACCCAATATGGTATAATGATTCAGGTAAACAGACAAGATTTTAAATACCACCTGGTCTGACAATATGTATATGATCAGATAGAGAGTACCATATTTTAATACCCCTGGTCTGGATCAATATGGATAATGATCAGGTAGACCAGGACAGATTTAAATACCCCCTTGTCGGACAATATGGATAAGATCATTTGAACAGGACAGATTTAAATACCCTGGTCTGGACAATATGGATAATATCAGGTAGAACAGACGATTTAAATAACCCCTGGTCTGTACATATGGATAATGATCAGTAGAGGTGACAGATTTAAAATACCCTGGTCGCAATTGGAATACTGATCAGGTAGAGGGGACCAGATTTAATACCCCTGGTCCGGAACAATAGTATAATGATTCAGGTATAGGTACAGATTAAATACCCCCTGGTCTGACATATGGATAATGGCAGGTAAGGGGACCAGATTTAAATAACCCCTGGTCTGGACAATATGGATAATGAATCAGGCATAGAGGGGACAGATTTAAATACCACCCCTGGCTGGACAAATGGATATATCAGTAGAACAGGACAGATTTAAATAACCCCTGGTTCTGGGAAATATGGATAATGATCAGGTAGAACATGAACAATTTAAATACCCCTGGTCTGAAATAATGGATAATGATCAGTAGAGGGGACAGATTTAAATATACCCCTGGTCTGGACATATGGATAATGATCAGGTAGAACAGGACAGATTTAAATACCCCTGGTCTTGGACAATAGGATAATGATCAGGTAGAACAGGACAGATTAAATTACCCCTGGTCTGGACAATATGGGATAATGATCAGGTAGAACAGGACAGATTTAAATACCCCCTGGTCTGGCCAATATGGATAATGATCAGGTAGAACAGGACAGATTAAATACCCCTGGTCTGGACATAATATCAGCAGAGGGGACGATTTAATACCCCTGCTGGACAATATGGATAATGATCAGGTGAGGGACCGACTTTAAATACCCGGGTCTGGACCATATGGAATAATGATCAGTAAGAGGGGACAGATTTAAATACCCTGGTCCTGACAATTGGGTAATGATCAGGTAGAGGGCGATTAATACCCCTGTCCTGGACAATATGGATAAGGATCAGGTAGAGGGGACAGATTTTTAAATACCCCTGGTCTGGACAATATGGATAATGATCAGGCAGAGGGGAACGATTTAAAATGCCCCTGGTCTGGACAAATGGATAATGATCAGGTATAACAGAACAGATTTTCAATACCCGGTCTGGACAATATGGATAATGATCAGTATAACAGGACAATTTAAATACCCCTGGGTCTGGAGACAATAGGATATGATCAGTAGAAGGGGACCAGATTTAAATACCCCTGGTCTGGGACAATATGGATAATTATCATGTAGAAACAGGACAGTTAATAATACCCCTGGTCTGGACAATAGGGATGATGATCAGGTATAGGGGACAGTTTAAATACTCCCCTGGTCTGGCCAATATGGTAATGATCAGGTAGAACAGGACAGAGTTTTAAATACCCCTCCCTGGTTCTGGACAAATATGGATAATGATCAGCAAGGGGGACAGATTTAAATACCCCTGGTCTGGACAATATGGATAATGATCAGGTAGAACAGGACAGATTTAAATACCCCTGGTCTGGACAATCTGGATATGATCATGCAGAGGGGAACAGGATTTACATACCCTGGTCTGGACAATATGGATAATGATCATGTAAGGGGACAGATTTAAATACCCCTGGTCTGGCCAATAGGAAATGATCAGCAGAGGGTACAGATTTAAATACCCCGGTCTGGACAATATGGAATAATGATCATGTAGGAGGGGACAGATTTAAATACCCTGGTCTAGACCTTGGGTGAACCTGTCCCAGTGTAGAGGGTGAACCTGTCCCAGTGTAGAGGGTGAACCTGTCCCAGTGTTATTACCTGTCCCAGTGTTATTACCTGTCCCAGTGTTATTACCTGTCCCAGTGTAGAGGTTGAACCTGTCCCCGTGTTATTACCTGTCCCAGTGTTATCACCTGTCCCAGTGTAGAGGCGGTTGAACCTGTCCCCAGTGTTCTTACTTCCCAGTGTTATTAACCCTGCCCAGTGTTATTAACCTGTCCCATGTAAGAGGGTGAACCTGTCCCAGTTTTTACTTTACCTGTCCCAGGTTATTACCTGCCCCCAGTGTTATTACCTGTCCCAGTGTAGAGGGTGTGTGTCCAGTGTTATTACCTGTCCCAGTGTAGGGTAACCTGTCCCATGTTATTAACCTGTCCCCAGTGTTATTTACCTGTCCCAGTGGTATTAACTGTCCCAGTGTTATTACCTGTCCCCCAGTGTAGAGGGTGGTACCTGTCCCATTGTTATACCTGTCCCGTGTAAGAGGGTGAAACCTGTCCCAGTGTTATTACCTGTCTCCAGTGTTTTTTACCTTCCCAGTTTATTAACCTTCCAGTTTATTATTACCTGTCCCAGTTAGAGGGTTACCCCTGTCCCCGTGTTATTACCTGTCCCAGTGTGCGGTGAACCTGTCCCATGTATTACTGTCCCATTGGTTATTACCTGTCCCAGTGTTATTACCTGTCCCAGTGTTATTACCTGTCCCAGTTGTAGAGGTTACCTGTCCCAGTGTTATTACCTGTCCCAGTGTAGAGGGTGTACCTGTCCCAGTGTTATTACCTGTCCCAGTGTAGAGGGTGAACCTGTCCCAGTGTTATTACCTGTCCCACTGTTATTACCTGTCCCAGTGTTATTACCTGTCCCAGTGTTATTACCTGTCCCAGTGTAGAGGGTGTACCTGTCCCAGTGTTATTACCTGTCCCAGTAGCTGCGTCCTCTAGGGAAGAACTCCAGGTTGACCCGTCCGGACCACCAGTGTGCAGTGGTGTGTGGAGGTCTCCTCCCCAGGGATCAGTCTCCACAGACTGGCTTCTAGCTGGAGGGGAACCAACAGGCATGCATGGTCCGCACTCACCACCTAGACACACCAACACAACGTCATCAGCTTCATCACCACCACAAACAACGTCAATCAGCTTCATCAACCACAACACCATCAAGCTTCATCACCAACCAACACACGTCCTCAGCGTCATCACCACCAACACAACGCCTCAGCTTTCATCACCACCACACGACTCATCAGCTTTCATCACGACCAGCACAACGTCCTCAGCTGATTTCATCACCACCAACACAACGTCATCAGCCTTCATCACCCACCACCAGCCACAACTCCTCACTTCATCACCACCAACACAACGTCATCAGCTTCATCACCACCAACACAACGTCATCAGCTTCATCACCACCAACACAACGTCATCAGCTTCATCACCACCAACACCATCAGCTTCATCACCACCAACACAACGTCATCAGCTTCATCACCACCAACACCATCAGCTTCATAACCACCAACACAACGTCCTCAGCTTCATCACCACCAACACAACGTCCTCAGCTTCATCACCACCAACACAACGTCCTCAGCTTCATCACCACCAACACAACGTCATCAGCTTCATCACCACCAACACAAAATATTGCAATTTTGACTTAGGTGAACTGTTGGAATCATGGAGATAGTTTCTTAATAGAAGTCATTCTAAGTGGACAGTAGAATCATTCTAGTTTGGTACAATCTGTTGACTGGATTATAACAACCGCAAGGGGAGGAGGTGGGAGGATATAGAGGATAGAGAGAGGGAGAGAGACAGAGAGCTAGAGGCTAGAGTAGAGGAGAAGAGAGAGATATCTCCGAGAGCTCGATTAGATAGGATAGGAAAGAGGCGAGAGATATAGAGAAGGATAGAGAGAGATATAGAGATGAGAGAGAGATTCTATATCATCTCGATATATCTCACTCTCTTGCTCTCGCTCTATCTAGATATCTCTCTCTCTCTCTTCTCTCATCTATTCGCTCTTTCTCTCTCTTCTCTGTCTCTCTCTCTCTCTCTATCGATCCTCTATCTCTTTCTCTCGTATCCATCTCTATTGTTCCCCCTCTCGCCTCTCTCTCTCTCTCTCTCTCTCTCTCTCGTCTCTCTCTCTTTATCTCTTCTCTCTCTCTTCTCATCTCTCTCTCTCTCCTTTTCGTCTACCTTACTCTGTCTCTCTCTCTCTCTCTCTCTCTCTCTCTCCTCTCTCTACTCTCTTTCTCTTCTCCTTCTCTCTCTTCTCTCCTCTCCGCTTGCCTATTCTCGCTTCGCTCTCTCTTGCTTCCTCTCGCTCCCTCTCTCTCTCTTCTCTGTTGGTCCTCTTCTCTCTTTCTCTCGCTCTTCCTTCTCTCTCTCTCTCTTCTCTTTCTCTACTCTCTTCTCTCTTCTCTCCGTTCTTCTCCTCTCTCTCTTCTGCTCTCTCTCTCTCTCTCTCTCTCTCTCTTTTTCTCCCTGCTCTCTCTCTCTTCTCTTCTTCCTTCCTCTCCCTCTTCTCTCGTCCTTCATTCTCCTCTCTCCTCCTCGTCTCATCTCTCTCTCTCCTCCTCGCTGCTCTTCGCGCTCTCTCTCTCTCTCTCTCTCTTTCCTCTCCTTTCTCTCTCTCTCTCTCTTCATCTCTCTTCTCGCTCTTTCTCGCTCCTCTCTCTCCCCTTTCTCTCTCCTTCCTTCTCTCTCTCTCTCTCCGCTGCTTCTCTCTCTACGCTCTCTCTCTCCCTGATCTCTCTTAACTCTCTTCTTTACTCCTCTCTCTCTCTCTCTCTGCTCTCTCTTCTCTCTCCCTCTCTCTCCTCTCTTCTCTCTCTCTCTCTCTCTCTCTCGCTCTTCTCTCTCTTCCTCTATTCCTCTCTCTCTGTCCTCTCTCTCTCTCTTCTCTCGCTCTCTCTATCTCTTTTTGCCCTTACTTTTTTTTTCCCTTTCACCTTTTGTGGTGCGGTCCTGTAGGTCGTCAACAGGGACCCTTCCAAGGACAATCTCCCCAGAGGGCATGTAGGGTGGGGTGGTTGGTGCATGAAGTCTTGACCTCTATATAAATCTATAATACAGATACTGAGCTAAGACTCCCTGGGCTCTGTTGGACCTCTTCTGGGCTCTTCTGGGCTAAAGCTAAGCTGCTCTGGTAAAATATTACTCTGCTGGAGACCGCTCCTATAAGAGAGAGAGAGAGGTTAGCGGTCAGATATCTAGAGCTAAGACTCTGGGCTCTGTTGGACCTCTTTTTCTGGGGCTAAAGCTCTAAAAAAAAAAAGCGCTCGGTAAAGAATAGTACTATTACTAACCTCTTAAAACTTCCTATCCTCTCTCTTTACTATTCATTAATACTGTACTCTTTAACCCCCACTTGTTTCCTTCCTACCCTAGAATTAGTTTGCCTGCTATCCTTCTTCCTAATCCTTCGCTGCTCTGGTATCCTCTATTCTGGGGATTCATCCGGGAGCGGTTTCCAATCTATTCTCCTAGAAGAGGTGTTCTTCCCGATCCATGGCCGCTGATCCGGGGCGTCCGTTCTCCGGAACCTACACTCCTAAAATGCTTTCCTCCTCTTCACACCCCCCCTAAGGTCGACCTTCCTTAAGACTTCAGTTGCGGCGATCATTAACACTCATTTCTCTTCATACCCTACGAGGGTCGTCGCAATACTCAGGAGAAACCAAACCATCTGCGTTACCTCGCCAGAAGTGAGGCAGCTTATCCTTCTGTAGACACACGAGAGGGGGCCAAGAAGTCTATATACACCTCCTCTCTTTCTGGTTCTCCTCTCCTATAGAGCGAGAGAAGGTTAGAGGTCGATATCTAGAAAGCTAGACTCTGGGCTCTGTGGACCTCTTCTTTGTCTAAAGCTTAAAGTGAAAGCTAAAAGCTGCTCTGGTATAATAGTACTACTTCTAACTTAACTTCACTTCTTGATTACGTAGACGGCTCCTATAGAGAGAGAGGTTAGAGGTCAGATTCTAGAGCTAGCTCTGGGCTTCTTGTGGACCTCTTTCTGGGGCGATAAACTAAAAGCTGCTCTGGGGTAGAAATAGTACTGCTGGAGACGCTCCTATAGAGAGAGAGGTTAGAGGTCAGATATCTAGAGCTAGACTCTGGGCTCTGTGGGACCGCTTTCCTGGTTCTGGGGCTCAAAAGCGCTCTGGTGAGAATAGGTACTCTCTGCTGGAGACGCTCCTATATAGAGAGAGAGAGGTTAGAAGGGTCAGATATCGAAGAGCTAGCTTCTGGCTCTGTGGACCTCTCTCTTCTTGTCTGGTGGCTAAGCTGCTCCTGTGGTAAATAGTACTTACTCGTCTCTTCTGACGTTCTGTAAAGCTTACCTCTCCTTTAACTTACAATTACGTATAATCTTGATTTATGTACTGTCTTATGTTCTATACACTAGACTGCTTTTGAGGAGGACGCTTTCCTATAGAGAGAGAGGTAGAGGTCAGATTCTAGAGCTAATACTCGGCTCTTGACTCTTCTTCTGGGGCTAAAAGCTTGCTCCTGGTAGAATAGTACTGCTGGTAACGCTCCTATAGAGAGAGAGGTTAGAGGTCAGATTACCTAGCGCCTAGACTCGGGGCTCTCTGTGGACCTCTTTCTGGGGCTAAAGCTGCTCTGGTAGAATATAGAAGTACTCTGTACTACTTGCTGGGAGACGCTCCTATAGAGAGAGAGGTTTTAGAGGTCAGATATCTAGAGCTATACCTGGGCTCTGTGGACCTCTTCTTCTCTTCTGGGGCTAAAAAAAAAAAAAAGCCCTGCTTGGGTGCTAAATCTCTAATCTGCTCTTTTATGCTATTACTTCCTACTCTCTCTTCACTACACCTAGTTGCAGTGCTTCCATCGTTCTCCCATACTGCTCCTACTCCTTCCGCTCTTTCCTACTCGGTCGCACATGACCGCGCTAACCTTACCACCCGCTCTCCCCTTCCTCGTTTCGCTGAGCCCAGATTAATGACGGGCTCCACTCAATATGACTTGGAACGGTCGGGGACCTGGTTCTAAGTTGATACTATAATTGCTTCCGTGCCATAAAGAACTATGGCGAAAAATCTAAGACCCATCCCTCTAGATGGACCCAGACCGCTACCTCCACGTTGTCTCTCTCAAGCGATGCCTCTCGGAATCTATGGAAAACATAGCTGGACGGGGGAACTGGTTACGGCAGCGTTTTCGTTATACTCATCTTGTGATGTCAAATCGGCTAACTGCTCTCACCAGTTCTATGTGCGGTTATCCTCCAATCCTCAGTCTGGTGCCATAAGAGCCTTATGTTCAACTAGAAGGAGGGGATGTTATCTGTCTCGAGAAAAAACACTAACTGAGTCATGATCATTTTGCGGATGGTTGGCCTGATGTCGCGATCCGACGGGTAAGGGAACAAGCAAGGTCCGTGATGTACTGAGTTCTGACGTCAAATCTTCTCTCTCTGTGTTCGGATCTATGCTTGTCTGGAGACCTTTTAAATAACCGTCCATTCTTTGGCAGTATCCAAATCTTCCACTCCTCCATCCCTACTCCTATACTGCGCCATGTCTGTTCTCCGCTGGCATCCTCAAGTACTATGTCTCCTGGGGGAGACAAAAGGAATAATAGAGAGATAGAGGTTTTAGAGGTCAGATATCTAGAGCTAGACTCTGGCTCTTTGGACCTCTTTCTGGGGCTAAGCTGCCTCGTTAGAATAGTAACTGCTGGAGCCAAAAGACTCCTGGGATAGAGAGAGAGGTTAGAGGTCAGATATCTAGAGCTAGACTCTGGGCTCTGTGGACCTCTTCTGGGGCTAAAGCTGCTCTTGTAGAATAGTGACTGCTGGAGCCGCTCCTAGAGAGAAGAGGTTAGAGGGTCAATATCTAGAGCTAGACCTGGCTGTGGACCCTCTTCTGGGGCTAAAGCTTCTCTGGTAGAATAGTATGCGGTAGACTATGGAATTTCTTGAAGTAAGAAACCTCCTATGAAAATAGGGAGAAGGTGAAGTGAAGATGAGAGGGAAAAAGGGGGAAGGAGGAGAATTAGTGGGAGGAGACAGGAGAGAGAGAGTTAGATGGTCAGATATCTAGAGCTAGAACTCTTGGCTCTGTGGGACCTCTTCTCTTCTGGGGCTAAAGCTTGCTCTGGTAGAATGTACTGCTGGAGACGCTCTATAGAGAGAGATGGTTATGAGGTCCAGATTATCTAAG